CTCTCGTTTAGCGGAAGCAACTTAACAAGTTTCGTAAAGTTAAATGGTACAGATGTAACAAGGAACGAGCTCAGTGGAAGACTCTCGACGGAGTTTATAAATACTTCCGACTACGGCAATATGATAATGTTAAGAAACAAGAAATTACTTTACATCGATTCTTTATAAAATAACTCTTAAATAAATATGAAATATATACTAATAGATAGATTTTTTAGGTGGTAGAGCCATGCCGTAAGGCTAATTGGGCCGGCTCGCACCGGGGCGGTACCACCCTCCCATAGAAAACCGGCGTTAAGGAATAGTATCTTGTCAGAGATACTATTGCGTTTCGTACGGTAAGTGGGAGTTCCGGAGGCCCATTTTCTGAATTGGTTGTAGGGAGAAACCACTCTTCCCTTCAACTAATTCCCTTCCCAAGCTCTCTAAAAATGGTAGCGGTGTACAAAAATGATCTACCCCAGGAGGGTACCGACGCGATTCGCATCGGAGAATCCCTCCCTGAAAACTCTGTTTCAGGCTGCCCCTCGTATTCTGGGGGGGGCAATACCCCGCTCAATACCTCTGTCCGAGGTCGCAGGAAGCTTAGAGTAGATTTCTGTAACATTAGGGGGCTACACTCTAATATCAATGCCGTCCACTACCATCTCGAGGCGGCCAAGCCGGCCCTTCTATTCCTCACTGAAACCCAGATATCGTCTCCGGCCGACATCTCCTACCTCCGATACCCTGGTTACTCCACGGAACATAATTTTCTACCTCGCGCCGGGGTATGTGTGTATATTCGAGACGATATCTGCTACCGTCGCCTTGACTTCACTGAAGGTTCAGACCTATCTACTGTTTGGATACGTGTAGACTGCGAAGACCATCCACGCGTCTATGGGTGTCTTTATAGGTCCCACAGCGGGAACGCAGAGACAGACCGGCTTATTGAGCATGTCCAAATGACCGCAGATTTTACTCTCCAGCAGATCCCCTCAACTGAAATTGTCATTCTTGGCGATTTTAATGCTCATCATGCCGAATGGCTTGCGTCAAGAACAACTGACCATGCAGGGAGGTCTTTTCACGATTTTGCTCTAGCCAATGATCTCACTCAATTGGTGACATCACCTACGAGGGTGCCAGATGTCAATGATCATATGCCTTCACTGTTGGATCTTCTGCTGACCTCGCATCCAGAAGGGTACGAGGTGCATGTTGATGCCCCTATCGGCTCGTCTGACCACTGCCTCATCTGGAGTACAGTGCCGATTACACGCTCCCCTAGGCCGCGATGTGCAGGTAGTCGTCGCGTGTGGCACTATAGGTCAGCGGACTGGGATGGCATGCGGACCTTCTTTGCATCCTACCCTTGGAATGGAGTCTGCTTTAAGGAGAATGACCCTGATGTCTGTGCCGCCTCTGTCGCCGATGTCGTGCTTCAGGGTATGGAATTATTTATTCCTAGCTCTGTGGTGCCCATCGGTGGCAAGTCACAGCCCTGGTTTGACCGGCCCTGCAGAACGGCATCACGTCGTAAGCAGGCCTGCTATCGAGCCTGGGTTGATGCGACTACATCGAATGGTCCTAACGCCGTTAATCTCAAAAAGGAATACAACTCCAGCTCCAGATCCTTCAAAAGAGCAATCACTAGAGCAAAATCAAAGTACATTGCTAGACTTGGAGAGAAGCTTGCCCGCCTTCCCTCGGGAACGAGAGCCTTTTGGGCCCTCTCTAAGTCTGTGCAAGGAAACTTCTGCAGGTCATCCATACCATCCCTGCGCATAGAGAAGGACTTGTTGGCGCATTCGGCAAAGGAGAAAGCTGATCTCCTCGGTTCTCTATTTGCCAATAACTCGACTTTGGATGACAGGGAGTACTCGCCGCCTACCATCCCGCGTGTCGAGGGATTTATGCCCGAGGTAAAATTTACACTAAGAACTGTGCGTAAAACCTTGTTTTCTCTGAACATCAACAAGTCGAGCGGCCCCGACGGTATTCCTCCTCTTGTGCTTAGGACTTGTGCTCCGGAGCTGGCACCAGTTCTAACGCGTCTCTTCCGGCTCTCCTATTCCGCCGGCGTTGTCCCGAAATCCTGGAAGACTGCTTTAGTGCACCCGATCCCTAAGAAGGGTGACCACTCTGACCCCTCCAATTACAGACCCATCGCTATTACCTCTTTGCTCTCCAAGATAATGGAGTCCATCATCAACCGCCAGCTTCTTGGGTATCTGGAGGAACATCAGTTGATCAGTGACCGCCAATATGGCTTTCGTCACGGACGGTCAGCTGGTGATCTTCTTGTATACTTAACGCATCGATGGGCTGCGGCTATTGAGAGCAAAGGTGAGGCTTTAGCAGTCAGTTTGGACGTAGCGAAAGCTTTTGATCGGGTTTGGCACAAAGCGCTTCTTTCGAAGCTTCCTTCCTATGGGCTTCCTGAGAAATTGTGCACGTGGATAGCCAGCTTTCTTACGGAGCGCAGCATTAAGGTCGCTATCGACGGTTTGTGCTCGAATTTAATGCCCGTGAATGCTGGTGTGCCACAAGGCTGCGTTTTGTCTCCCACTCTGTTCCTTCTGCATATCAATGACTTGCTGCAAGTCGGCGATGTTCATTGCTATGCAGATGACAGTACTGGTGATACGCTTTATACCGGACGTCGCACACTTTCTCGGGATTACGTCGCTGAGTGTCGGAATGGGCTTGTGTCTTACATCGAGTCCTTACTCGATCAAGTATCATCCTGGGGCCAAACCAATCTGGTTACATTTAACCCTACAAAGACACAAGTCTGCGCGTTCACCGCCAAAAAAGCACCCTTTGTAGTAACAGCTCGGTTCCAGGGCAATTCCCTTAAACCTACAGCCAGTATTGGTATTCTGGGTGTCACCATTTCGAGTGATGTACAGTTTCGTAGTCACTTGGAAGATAAGGCCAGGTTGGCATCACAAAAACTTGGCGTACTTCGCAGAGCGGGGCGGTACTTCACTTCGGGCCAACGCCTGACGCTTTATAAGGCGCAGGTTAGACCTCACATGGAGTACTGCTCCCACCTCTGGGCTGGAGCGCCCCAGTGCCAACTTCTTCCATTTGACCGAATCCAACAACGTGCAACTCGAATGGTCGACGATACCGTTCTTACCAATCGGCTTGATACTCTAGCCCTGCGGAGAGACGTTGCTTCTCTTAGCGTCTTCTACCGCCTTTACTACGGGGAATGCTCTGAGGAGCTCTTTGGGCTACTGCCTGCAGCTGAGTTCCACCACCGCACTGCACGTCACAGGTTGCATTACCATCCGCACCACCTTGACAGCTGGCAGTCAACCACAGTGCGTTTCAAAAGAAACTTTCTGCCACGCACCACCATCCTGTGGAATCAGCTGCCTCGCGACATATTTCCAATACACTACAACTTAGGGTGCTTCAAGAAGAGAGTGTACCTTTTTCTCAAAGGCCGGCAACGCGCTCTGGTGCCTTCTGGCTCGAGTGTTCATGGGCGGCGGTAATCATCTACCATCGGATTGCTAGCCTGCTCGGTTGCCCCCTATATTATAAAAAAAAAAAAAAAAAAAAAAAAAAAAAAAAAGATTAAGCGTTCATTAGCTTTCATACTGCTTCATCATCAAATTAAACTAAAAATTTCTCACCTTATGTTTTTTTTGCATCATAAATTAAAAATTTAATATACCCCCGACCCAATTATAAACATGAAGAGAACCAGTCAAGACGAAATCAACGAGCCCAAACTCGTTGGGTTTACTAAAAGGCAGTCTAGGGTTACGTCTCCTATCTTCGAACCCTAACAGCAGACCAACTCAGTGGTTCCAAGAGACATTAGTTTTTCAAATGTCAGATAGCACATATGCTTGCAAGCAAACTGTGCGTGTAACATTCCTATCGCGCCTAACACACGACCTGAACCGATTTCCTCCAAACATAGCTAAGAGCACTCGACGGTTGTACCTTTCAAACAAAAACACTGCATTAAAATCGAATCATCCGTTGGGAGCTTTATTATAAATAAATTGCAAAATAAAAGTTGTGTATTTCTTACGATATAAACATATTTAGTACATAGGTGATTTTTTATTGTAATGCAATAGTTTTGATATTTCTTAATAATTTTTTCTTTTATATTTCAAGATAAAGATTATATTCCAACACCTACCATTAAAGGTTATATGAGGTGAAAACTGAAATCTTTCCTGAAGAATATTTAACAAAAAAACATAAATTTATGTCAGCTTGTATCTTCATTAAAATTTTATCTACGAATATATTAATACAAATCATTTAAATAAATAAGTAACAATTAAGTAGTAAATCAACAAAGATAATAATCATCAGATTAATTGGCACTGATATTGTACATATAATTTTAGATAAGACTGATTTTAAGTGATGTTTTTTATGAAAATTTTTATTAGATTTTTATAAGAACGAGTAAATATTTTTTAAAGTGTCTAATCGTTTATACATATGTAAATATTATATGCCATGTATATACTTAACATCTATATACCTTTTGAAAAAAAAATATTATTTAAAGCATGTAACTTCCCTTGAATGCTATCCGATTTTAGGGCACATGTTGAAATAGTGGCTGTGGTGGTAAAGAACAACTCTGAAATTCACGCGGACTGAGTCGTAGGCAAAAGCTAGTTCGGCAAAAATCCGCTTAAGACACAATGTGTAAAGAGTGATCAAAACTGCTTATTTAAGTGAAAACAACATAGCCCAGATAGATGGAAGTCTGTGGATTTATAATTATGTAATAAATTATTTCTCTCGTGTATATTCTTCGAATCGAAGTATATTCATTACTCGCAATATATGTGAAGCAACGTGAAGCTTAAACCTCTTGAATTTCCTTCCGATTACTCAAGTGTTAGATGCAGTTTAATATTAAGTATTGTAATTATAAGTAGCTCTTAAAGATTCTTTATATAAAAGACCCTCAATTATAATAATACAAATTAGTTACAACATTGACGGTGAAAGAACTTTTCAAAATGAATAAGATCATTATATTTTTCTGTTGTATCTATGTAGCAAGAGGTAAGCGAAAACGTCATTTTTATTAAAATTTAACATCAATAAAACATTAAATTAAATTTCACTCTACAGTATTCTTATGTTATGACCATTCTAAATAAATTAGCCATTAAATTACGTCTTTTTTATTCAGGTTTTGTGGTGCCACGTTTCTTCGATGGGCCTAAACCCAGGATCGTAGGAGGAATAGATGCTCCAGCAGCTTCTGCGCCTCACCAGGCTTCGTTACGAACCCTGTTCAACTATCACTTCTGTGGAGGATCCATTATAAGTAACAGATGGATTTTGACAGCCGCTCACTGTACTTTAGGGTGAGTGTAGAACTATGATAAAAGTTTATCAAAAGTTAAGGACACATTTATGAACCTTTTATGTCCCAAAAACTGAGTTAATTGCAATATCTTATGTGATTTAAATTAATTAATATTTTTAACTTTAGGTATAAATTAATAGCTTATTATAACACTAATCATTCCTTTTACTCTTCAGGCAATCGAGTTTTACAATGAAGGTGGTTGTTGGAACTAACAGTTTGTCAAACGGTGGAATATCCTATTTTGTAGATAAAATAATAATACATGACGATTTTAGCTACAGCGAAATTAAGAATGACATAAGCGTTATTAAAGTGTTTAGGGATATAATATTTAATGAGCTTGTACAACCAATACCGTTGCCAGACACAAATACGCCAGGAGGTGCCAATCTTACTTTGACTGGATGGGGTACTACATCTGTGAGTAGACGACAGATAGAAAGAAATCTGTAAAAAATTATGAAGGTATATTTTATTTGGTTAATTATTTCAGTATCCTGGTAGCAGTCCCGACAAGCTGCAAGTCATAAAACTGCTGTCACTAAGCGCGGAAGACTGTGAGGATATTTACAGTAAAGTTGATTCACCAGATGTTGATAGCACTCAGATATGTTCATTCACCAAGCAAGGAGAAGGTGCCTGTCATGTGAGTAGTTAGACAAGTTTTTGACCTTGGATTTGCTCTTTGAGTTATTACAAACGTAAAACAGTATATTCTGTTTAAAAGCCTATATTCCTAAATATATGTTGCTTTTCCTTAGGGTGACTCCGGTGGCCCGCTGGTGGAAAATAACACAGTAGTGGGTATAGTATCATGGGGAATGCCGTGCGCCAGAGGATACCCTGATGTCTTTACACGAGTTTTTGCTTTCAAAGACTGGATAACAGAAAACACTTCTGAATGAGATCCCAAGTTAATTAAAAGAAAGAAATGAAGATATTTTAAAACGACGATAAATAAATGCCACTTTGTATGTCCATAAAGGTTTTGTTTTAATATTCGGTTACAATTGAAAAAATAAATATGTATTAAATTGATTTGTATTTTTTTTTTCTTTTTTAAGCACCATAAAAAATAAGGCTTATAAAGGGATTTACAATTAATTACAAAAATGACTTTTATATTTAGAAGGTGATCGATAGATAGATAGATCGATATTGGTGATAACCAAACCTTACGTTTAAGGTTTTAAATAACTATAAATTAAATACAGATTAAAAGCAAATAACTTTTGAATTTCAATTAACCATAAACCTTAAACAAAACAAAGACACTCTGAAAATAGTACGGTGCTTATGTTTTCCTTATAAAGAAAATAATCGGCTACGGTTATGAAAACAAATATCAAAATTTTATTCATATTTTCAAATTAATTCAGTACATACACAGTTACAGTTGATACATGATTTTATAATTCTATATAAAATATTCAAATTATATTTATGATAACTAAATAATTGATATGAAAAAGTTTAACATACTTTTTGCAAATCTATAACTTGTTTAAAATGTTCAACAGTTTTTTTTCCTAACGATTTTATAAATAAGAAAGTTTTAACGTGTAGAGATTTCTTTGATCTCTTTTTTAATTTTCTTCCTTTATCTAATGAAACTACTAGACATTATATTGTATTTATATAGGTCAAATATTTTTTATTTATTAATAAAACGGAAATATACTATATCGTTCAAAGTTAAATAAGAGCTTGGAAATGGATCGGCACGAAGCTAATTTTTTCAATACAGCTAATATTCGTGCTAAAAAATAACTATTTATTTGTTAGGTAATTAAAGTAAATTTCAGAGTCCGTATGTAAACATTTCAAACGTACCTTTTATTCTTCTTATGAGTCGGTAACACTCTTGACAGAGTGGTCGCGACCATCAATTTGGGTAGTGGTGGCCCGCTTGACAATTCTACGCCATTCCTCTCGAATCGATGCCTTCCTGGTGCATACATTTGTAGGAGCTTATCTTCTACGCCAACATTTTATTTTGTGTTTGTCTATCTGTCAAGACCATTCTCCTTTGGGACGACTACGACCATCTGAAAACAATATCAGGTTAGGTTAGCGGGTAACAACAAATAAAGTCGTTTAGTGTTAGATTATAAATATTCTGGCGCTCAAAAGTACCTAAAGACTCATAACAGACTTCTCTCCTAACTGATATAATACTGATTAAAAGGCAATGTATTAAAACTAATAAGCCCGATTTTAAAATCTCTAAATCAATTTGCAGTATCATCACTACATTATTATATCACAATTACAAAACTTAATTATTCAATTTATAATGTTTCCTTCTCCTCTTTTATTTAAGAAACCTTCAATAACTATTAGCCACAGGTTAACTGTTTATTTCATTGATAAATAGTTGCTTTGATTCAAATTCACTTTTGTCATCCTAAATTATTTGACACGTTTGATTATTACAAAAATATCATAAAACATTTATCTGTAAAAATTTAAGGTATTTTATCTCAGCAATACTCAGTTTTTAGAAATTTAAATTAGAGGATTGTAAGTCCATGTCAAAAGGCATGCCAACCATTAAGCCAAAACCATGCCGGTTCCGCATGGCATCTTATCAAAGTATAAAGCAAGTTAATATGTTTTCCCTAAATTATTGTTAAATTAAATGTTCGTAGACAAAACGTAAGACACACAGCATTCAAATTTAAAATGCTAAATCCAGTTTGAACGAAGCTATACCATAATAAAGTTAGTAGGGTAAAGATTCTCCTGTTCTTCAACAAAAGCGATAACAAGCATTTTGAGTTTTTGTATTATCCTGAAATAATGAGTTCAAGTCCCACTTGTACTATTTATTTTTCTAAGGCGAAACTTCTCAGCAGTCCATGAATTTACCGTGTGGTTACCGGGTCCATCACGTAACAAGGAGAGGAGCTTCAAAAGTGCCTGGAACTTGCAACCCAGGTACAGGTTTAAGGGACCCCTATCTAACATGCGGTAAATGCTCAATAATTGAGACCTGAATGAAGAATCTCTATAAATGAGAGCGACATGATTACGTCTGAGTTGGAAAAACCCTTTAATTTGAGTAAATACATAATCGAAATATTGTACACTTTGTTTTATTGTACACAATGATAAATATAAGATCCATACAATTAATTGAGAAACGCAGAACGAGTGGTTAGACATAGGAGATTTTTGCATCCCATTAGCATTAAAATGGCGCACTTTAATTTATGATTGGTCGCCAGCATTGCTAAAATTCTATCTCAATGCGTTCCAGATGACTCTCCCAGACCAGAGTAATTTAGTAAGATGGGGTAAAAGTACCGAAAAAACTTGCTATACCTGTGGAAAGCATCTGCTGGCGGGATGTAAGGTACTCCTGGACAGCGGTCAATACTCGCGTCGTCACGATAGGGTTCTAGAAGTCATACGTGAAACCGCTTCAGTCTTTCGGTAGCCAGAGCGCAAAAGGAAATAACCACAAACGAACGATCAGTAGGTTTTGTGAGAGAAGGCACTAGGGCTACAAAATCAAACGTCAAGCCTTACTCCATCCTTAAAGCGGCGTCGGATTGGACTATAATGATGGACTATAATGAAAAACAATATAAAATCCCCGAGGATATTTGTGCGTCGGCCTCCAGACCGGATATATTTTTGTTTTCGCGAATTTTAAAGCGCGTAGTGATGATAGAGGTTACGGTCCCTTGGGATACCAACATCCCCAAAGACCATACCATCAAGGTCAACAAATATTACGAGCTCACAAACGAACTCACTCGAAATAGGTTCGTAGTAGATTTGTACGCGGTAGAGGTGGGAGCGAGAGGTATAACACGATGACAATAATTAGTTGAAGTATCGCCTGTAATTGTAAATGATAAGACATAAATGTAGAAGGAAGTCTCAAATTGTATTAAGACTGAAGCGATTTGACCCTGTGAGATATGAACTAATGGATTAACTACTAAGAGGTTCCGTAATGTAAGGAAGTATTACAAAAGACTTTATCATTATTAAGAAAGAGACTACATTTATAATCCATACAAACTTCTCACCACAGCTATACCTCTAACTAATTTATGACTTATAATGGCTATTGTTAAATTAGATAACCTGCATAAATATTATATTCTGAATTATTAATAAAATGACAGACATTTCATGAGTACTTATATATATAATTTTAAGTCAATGTTTTTTTTTAATATAGTTTAGGTTCAGTTGTGACATAAACTTTCTTCAAATATATTATTTATATAGATAACAAGTTGCTTAGCCTTTTCTTATTGCCATGTACTATAATGATGGCATTTGAAAATAAGACCTGATACGACACAAAAAAATTCTTTTCAATTGATTTGGTGCGAATGAACAGGGGAAGACCTGTTTCTGTTAATATTTACTTGGACACTTGTTAAGTGCTCGAAACATTTATAAAAACAAAATAAACATCAGAGGAGGCAACCTATGTTGTATTATAAAATGGATAAAACAGCAGAAATAACCAGAAAATTCCTGATACCACACACGAATCACGATATTTGGTAGCATTAATTTAGGATAGCAACACGGACATTCATGTTGTCTTAGGTATAATTTAATTTAGGGCATAAAATTTTATTGTTTTATTGTTTTCCTAGAACCTAACTGGCCTTGAACGGCACCCTGAGTTGCAAATGTGATTGTATACCATCCCAAGGAGACAAATGTAAACAGAATTTCATAAATTTATAATCTTTGAAGAGTTATATCAATGATATAAATCTAAATCTAAATTTTGTTAATAAATGACAATAGATTATTTATAATCTTAGAAGTGAAAATTTGCAAAATCTTTTTTTTTTAAGGAAAACTTGTAACAAATTTCGCATCAAATTACGTTCTTCACATCCTTTAAAACATCGTATTTTATTAACAAATAATAAAAATTATGATGATGTGTTTCTTTGAAAATTAATGAACAATCGATGAATAAAACAGTAAGACGCAGTTTCATATATATGTTGTTTTTTTGAAGATTAGTAAATGTCTCGTTTAGATTTAACAAACATAGTTTGTTGAAACTGGGCCTAACTCTTATACATAGATTACTACGCATCGACACACAATTACCACGTGCACGAAACACTTAATAAATTATAATAGAATATTATTTCTAAATATAAAAAACTTCTATGGGATACTTATATTTAGTAATGCTTGGGAAGAAAATTCAAAACGAATGTACAAAGACTGAAATTAATTTAACTTACTAATTTAATATTCTGTTAATATTCGTATATTACCAATTTCGCTAAAATTTATCAAATATATATACATATGAGTGTGTGTGTGTATGCATGTGTATTTCTGGCATCTCAATTTATTTATTGATTTAAAATAAATTCGCGGAATGAAATTTGTATAACGGTATTTGAGAATGAGGCAACAGCTCTCATCCGGGTGTCTATAACTTTTATCATTTCAATATAAATCCAAAATTTAAGGTTTAATTCAATAAAAAAATCTATTCTTCTTCTATTTAGGTGGTCGAAATATTTTTGCTACAAATTCATTTTTCGAAATTTTTTGGTGGTAATGATTTTTTAGTTTTTTTTTCATTAAGTTATATGAAAAAAATGACGTCATAGACAAAAATAATAAAATCAATGAAATTAAATCTAAAAATATTGATATTCATCTAATTATTTTCAATAATATTATTTACATTATTATAATTTTCATCATATTTTGAAATTAAGAAGGACTAATTTTATCCTTCTATCAGATATATTAATCACAAATTAAGGACCGTCAGTGTACACAATGATAGTAATGAAATTATGTCATGTTTGCTTTTCACTAATAATACAATGATCCACTAAACCGTGTAATTAAATGTTTATATTGCGCTTGTTCTATATTAAGTACAATAATATCTGAAATTTTCAAGTACATTTTAAATTGCTTATTAATCTAAAAGAACCCTTGATAGTGCTATAAAAAGGTGAGCTACAAAGGCACTATTTACAACGTGATCGTATTTCGTATAGATTTTTGTACGAATTTCGAAAAATATTATCAATTATGGCTAAACTTTTTATATTGTTAGGCTTTGTCTGTGTAGCGAAAGGTAAATCATAATTAATTTTCATAAAATAAAAAAGGCTAAAAAAACCTTATTATGTATAAATGATTTTATTCAATTATTTGACTTAAGTAAGAAATTTTATATGAACCGACACTTTAATTGATATAATTCTATTGTTTCAAATGAGTCTTATTAGTATGACTATTAAAATGTAATCAGTTTCTATATTTTTTAGGCTTCATATTGCCTCAATTCTACGATTCGCCAAGCCCTCGTATTGTTGGTGGAGAGAATGCACCAGTGGGAAGTGCTCCACACCAGGCTTCCTTGAGAAGTATCTTCGGATCACATTTCTGTGGCGGTTCCATCATTAGTAAGAGATGGATTTTGACAGCGGCGCATTGCACTATAGGGTAAGAATAATAAAGATGTTTTATCAGAAATGTTTGCCCCTCGGAGGAATATCCACAATTTTATTTAGAAAATATCTTAGCTATTTAAATAAAAAGTAACGAGATAAAAGCATTCAGAGGATCAAAAAAAAATCCTCTGCTATTTATTATACATTTATAATATATTTTAAGATATCATGGTAACATTTTAGACAATCCACTTTCACAATGAAAGTGGTCGTTGGAACGAACAGTCTTACAAGCGGCGGTGAGAAGTACTCCGTCGAAAAAATTATAGTCCACGAGGATTATGACGGCGGTGAGATCATCAATGACGTGAGTGTGGTCAAGGTGTCAACTGATATAGAATTCAGTGACTTGGTGCAACCAATTGAGTTACCAGAAACAGATACCGCTGAAGGAGCAGACTTGACGCTCACAGGATGGGGCAGAACATCGGTATGATGGTTTTTATTATTAAACTAGTTTTTGCCCGCGACTTCGTCCGCGTTAATTTTGTCATTAGTAATATAGGTATAGCTGACCGGGCAAACTCTATTCCATCTTCAATAACCCGGTATTGGTATTTATTAAATTTCTACTGTTTCAATCGAACAGAATGATTGACATATTAGATAGTTGTCAAGTCTAATGTCAAAAAATCGTTTGTATGGGAAATAGAAAAGGACTGTTTTTAGGGTTTTCCCGGCAATAATTCCAATTTTTCTCACCTTTTAAACCTTCCCTGGACTTCCAGGAGTATTTCAAGACTAAAATTAGCCAAATCGGTTCAGCCGTTCTCGAGTTTTAGCGAGACTAAGGAACAGCAATCCATTTTTATATATATAGAAGATAAGTACCCCCTTATAATCCTACGTGGTAAAACCTTGGGTGGTAAACACTCTATACTCGTAACTTCCTATTTGTTAAATGTTATCTTGAGACCATTAAAATTCTGATTACCAAAAAAGTCAAGATCCTTCAATCTGTATTGATGTTTTCACATGAAGGAGATCGGTCACCGATTTGCTCGTGTAAAAACAATTCCAACATAATCTAGCAACTTATATCTTTTTGACTTTAATAAAACTAATTTGGCTCTGGTTAAGATATTTACGGAGTTATAATTTATTTTTAAAAAGATTTACATACGATTCGATATTTTTAGCGACTGTATTGAAGTATTTGTTTTATGAAAAAAATTAACTCCTAGAATCTCTCCTACTTCTTATTCGCCTATGTAGAAACAGGGATAAATAGAACCGAGCTTCTGATCGTATTAAGATGAAGATCATGTGTACAATATGGTTATTGAGTTATTACTCTAGTTATAAATTATAATACTTAGATATTAGTAACTTTAATTGGACCAAACATTATTTTAGTACCCGGGAAGTCTCCCGGACAGACTGCAGATGATAAACCTGATAGCTCTCAGTGTAAATGAATGTCAGCAGATCTATAAAGGTATTATCGGGGCAACTGTGTATGACACCCAGATATGTTCGTTGACCAAGAGCGGAGAAGGGGCTTGTCATGTAAGTTATATATTTATATACATATTATATATAACGGGGCGTTAATTTTGGATTAGTTTAATAAGTATGTAATGCAGTCGATTTATTTCTTAAAAATTATAAGCGGCAAGTTCCGAATAGAGTAGTGATTGTAACTGAGGGTGAGAATGGTCATTTTGCTATGGACACCCGTCAAACGAAGTACACAAGCCAAAGTTACTGGCTCATAATCTATTTTCATCTTATTTGAGTGTGATTTTAAATACAGTTGTAGAGAAATCGAGTAATCAGATATTGAACAGTACAAACGTGTAGAAGTATTATATAATATCAGCAACAATTTATTATGATTTCTGGATTGAAATATATTGAAAATTTCCAGGGTGATTCCGGTGGCCCCTTGGTAGAAGGAAACAAGGTTGTGGGTATCGTGTCTTGGGGAGTACCATGTGCGAGAGGATATCCAGATGTCTACACTAGAGTATATTCTTTCAAAGACTGGATACTGTCAAAAACAAAGATTAATGACGAAGAAGATCAAGATAATACAAATGAAGAAGATAAACAACAATCCAACGTATAAACATTTTGTATTCTTTTTAGTTAAGTTTCCAAAATAATATAATTGTTAAGTTTCGATGGCTTAAAAGAAGTGAATTCCGTTAAAATTTAAAGTTGTATTATCAAAAAGACAACTTTTGTTTTTTTTTTATTAAATATATAACCTATAGGTTTGTAAGGCCACAATTTAGGATTTATACTTATAGTTATGTTTTATATAGTCTTAAATATTTAGAAAATTGTGCGATTTCTACCAATTACATTACTTTCATAAAGTGGCTTTATTTTGTAAACGTAAGATTAAGCACACGTATTTGTATCTTACGTGTTGTTTTAGATAAGAAAGAAAATGTCGAAAGGTTCAATATTATATATATATGCATTGTTAGATTTAGAATAATGGTTTTGTAACTAAATTCTAATATTAGCCAACAATAAAACTGTAATTACATACCTACCCAAAATATTTAATTTATAATTTCTTTTATCTTCTTATATATATTTATTTCTTTTATATTCTTATATATATTTTGTTAAAATAATTCAATTCAAAGTTCCTAAAAATTTCACAATAAATAATGACATAATATAAAACCTCTTTACTTCATAAGTTTTACGAAACGGAATAAAAATCTTTCTACCTTTTTTTATTTCGGATGAAACATTAAGGCGTTTGCGTATAAACAATTTTAAAAAGAAACGTTGCACTTCCACGTAAATACGTAACAAAAGATGACGTAATACTAATCAGGATATACAATTTATATATCTTTATATTTATTTACATTAATTTTAGTGAAACTTCTCACAAACACGACTGTTTATCTTGGTTTCAACAAAGTAACAGAGATATAATAATAAATTCATTAAACGAAGACCCGTGTCAGATTTACCTTTAATACAAACTGTTATTAAGTCTGTAATTTAATTTTGAGGATTCAAAAGGTCACGTTAGCAACAGTACACAGATTGACAGAGTATGTTTAAGCTTAAATTAAACTAATATTTTTCGAATGTACTTACTACCGGATTCACTGTTGATAAAAAACTACATACTCCCGACGTTTCGACTACTTTACAGTAGCTAGTCTTTGCCTTGCTTTTGTAAAAAATAAAATCGCGTAGTACATCTAAAAAATATGAGTTTCATTTAAATGAATACTCGCGTAACTCAGATCTCATTATGTTTAAGCTTATTACACTTTTAATTCATAGTTTTGACCTGTTTTTAACGATAACCATTGAAACTACAAACCAAATAGGTATACATAGATAACAAATATAAGTAGAATTGAATAAATAAGAAAAAAAATTACCAATATAACTTATATAAGAAGTTTTTACAAGAGAAGTCACATGTTTCGTTTATATCAAAAAGGTAAGACCCAATTATAATACAAACTAAGGGACCTTTACCAACAAAGCATTGATGATGGCATACCTTTCTCGGATGTCTAATTTTTGATAGGGTAGCGACCTTTAATTTTATACACGAACACAAACTTTGTACTTAATCAATTTATAGCTCGACTTGTTTTTTGTTATTGAGACACACCCACGGAGAACGATGTTGCTTCAATTAGTTATTCAAAATTATTTTACTTAATATCTCAAGTCGCATAATGATGCGATATATAATGATATAGCATCATATATTAAAATGTATATTCAAATAATTAATAGCTAAATGTGTAAATAAATAATATAATAAATACCTACAAACAATTTTTTTTCCAAATTAATTAGCAATGTTATGAAAAATCGATTCTTTTAATTGGTCTTTTACTCTGGTAAAATATAATTTTGCTCTCTTTATGTCATTATTTGAAACGAAAGCAGCTTGTACTGCATTAGATTTTGTTTTATTTGTAAAGAAAAACTTCTAATCAATGTCAAAAAATATATATATTCTTGTACTTTTGATTTCACTGACCGTAGTATAAAATAGAAATAATATATGGTAAATCTGTTATTCAAATATAAATTATAAATAACGTTGCAACCTTGAGATTCCAGAGCTCCTGAATGATCAAGTACTTAAGAGCTATTGAGGAACTCCTTAACAACCCAGTCCCTTCTTAAGAAACTTGGACCCTCGAGTTACAAAGACATTGACCTTCAAATCTGAACACAATATTTTGCAATTTTTACCAAAAAAAAGAGCTTTTATTTTTGTATCCAAGGCAATATTTTTATTTTAAACTTATATTTTTTATTAAACAACAATATTTTAGATTCAAAGCCAATAGTGCATTAGGTATGTTTTACCTATACATCAAAATGAAACATGCAAGCTAAAATATCTTTTAATATAAAACCGTAACATAACCACAGTTTTCCTCGTCGTTTTGTTTCTTATTGCATATTAAGCCGCGGAGTAATTTAAAGTCTCAGAATCTCAGTAATTTCTTGTAACTTTTGAAATTATTATTTAAGAAATAGTTCTTAATTTTTTATTTTAAACGCTTACATAACGAGAAACCTTTTTGATTTTATCATGGTTTCATAAAATCAAGGCAATCTTTTTTATAAAACAAGAAAACCGTTTCTGGCACTAATGGTAATAGCCAGAAAATTGTTGCTATTAAGACGTTATTATTTTTTTTACAGTTAGCTTTTATGACCATTATAATTTGGTACATACATGGGTCTATAGAGGAAGCTCTTTACGGTATAGCCCATGGGCCATAATATATTTAAATTCATAATAAATTTTATTAATAGTATAATATAATAAATTAGTATAATAGTATAGTATATTAACAGTCAAATTTTTAAACGATTCCAAACCTGTGAAAATGTAAATATGTCACTTATGACAACTGACAGTTGTATTGTCACACGTGCGTTAGACCGTTCTAAGGACTTATGCCTAAGATTTTTAAACTCAATATTGCACCTATACCATCCTAAAGTACCATGTTCAATTAATAAGTACTGAAAGAAAAAGGCTATACCTGCATATTGAAGACCACATTAAAATGGATTTCATAATAGACACAGTGGGTGATGATGCACTGCAGAATAAAACAGAATTATTAGTTACTGAAGACAAATTGTTTATAGGTTAGATTTTTTAATGTTTTTTTTTAGCTAAAATCAGTTTTATCAATTCTCTCAGAATTAAAAACTTTACGTGAACATTAAAACAACAGATATGTGTATGAAATTGCTTTTGTGGAACCTATGCCAATCGTCCCTTTCAAAATAAAAATTTGTAATCAATCGTACTATATTGTGTACTGTTTTAATTATTAAAAATATAATTTTCAGAAAAAGAGAAGAAAACTGAAGCTATTTTACAATTATTTTACGATAAAAAGCAAGAATTAGATACTAAAATAAATGAGGAGGAAGAAATCCAAAACAAGCTCAAAGGTCTTAAAATAGACAATTTGTTTGATGAATTTTTCGATGATATGAGATGGACAAACTCTTTATTGATTAGAAGGAAAAAGAATAGAAAGTTTCATTTCGATCAATTAGACAAAGAGACTGGCAAATTAGCTTCAAACTTAGGAGGTGTCGATGTTGAGAAGGAAATTCAGAAATCTGTCTTAAAACCGGGATTAGAAAAAGAACATACCTTACCGAAATATAATATTAGTGATAAAGAATTGAGGGCTACACGAAAGGTATTCTATTTATCTACACATTACTCTATGACCTAAGCTAAATTTAAATGACTATAGTATCTATTTATAGTTGAAGTTCTTTTAGAATTGGTCAAACTTAATGAATGTTATTTTATTAATTTAATTTGTCTGCCAATAATCAAGGTTGCTGTGAAGTAACCAAAATGTCAGGAGTACATAGTCATAAAAATAATGAAATATTGAGTAGTAATCTGAAAATATTAGTTTCACTTAAATAAATACTCACTAAGGTCTTAGACCTCATTTGTCAAACTAAATGGTAATTTTAACATAGCTTTTTCTGTTTATATTAATATATATTTTTTATTTATAATAGAAAGAGAGACAAAACACTAAAGGACCTGGTTGGTTCAATATGCGTGCCCCAGAAGTTTCTGAAGAACTCAAGAACGACCTGCAAGTGCTTAAGATGAGATCGGCCCTGGACCCTAAACACTTTTACAAAAAGAATGATATGGAAGTATTGCCGAAGTATTTTCAAGTGAGTGATTAGCCTTAGATATAAGCCTTAAATATAATTCCACATATATTTAACAATATATAAGAGGAAGTTTGTTACTTACACTTAAAAAGTACTTATTTTCTTTTGATGAAATTATAAAAACCAGTACAGCATATTAAAAAAGAATGTTAAAGAATAAGATAGTGAAGTATTTATAAAATTTAATACAAACAGAGTAATATGTAAATAATAAAATGTAGCTTGTGTATAGGGCAGACTATAGTTTATTTTACTCAAATTCTGTGTAGTGACCACAGTAACAAGGCATAGTAGTTGTATTGAGCATAAAGCCACATGAATTAAGCTAAATGTCGCTTCTGTTTGGGTACCATAGAATATATTGTTTCAACACACAGTTTGGTATTAACCATAGTCCTTCCGACAAAAATAGTGTAATACATATATGAATCTTTTATCTGATGAATTTTCTTGATCTATATTCAGGTTGGTCGTATCTTGGATTCTTCTCTGGACCATGTAAATGAAAGAATAACCAGGAAGAATAGAAAAAGAACAATGGTTGAAGAACTGTTAGCTGACGCCGACTTCCAGAAGTACAATAAGAAGAAATACAAAGAGATCATAGACGAGAAGCGAAAGACAGAATACAGAACAGTCATGAGGGATAAGCGACAAAAAAATAAAGCGGCACATAAAAGTAACAAATTAAAAGCAAAAAAGACTGCCAAATAAAAATTCAACATTGATTAGAGCTTTTTTTTTTAAACATTCAATATTAAGGCAATGCTTTAAAATATTCTTCTATTAAGTTATGAATACTTTTTGTTCAAATAAATATTTAATAAGTTATAACTTCAGTCTAAAATCGAAATTATCATTGAATAATGGCTAAGAAAAGGATTCACACATGTTAAGTATAAAAGAAAACTATGAAAAATATTTATTATAAAAATACACAAAGTTGATCAAAAAATATTGCCTTTACCCTTAATGTATAACCAATCAGTGCATCTTATATAGAATTATCAATTTCACAACAGTTTCTAATAAATATATTATAAGAAACTCAGTAGCCCCCTGTGACATCTATTGCAGCACCAGTTATAAAGGAACTCTTGTCTGAACTCAAAAACGTAATAACTTCGGCGACCTCTGTAATAAAAATTAACAAATCAGATATTTTCATCACAAGATAAAAAAATAGAAATATGTATATACATACCCGATGGTTCACCTAGTCTGCCAAGAGGAACAAGTTTTAACAAATTTTCCTTTACTTTATCAGGAACTGTGCTAATTATCGGAGTATTAACGAATCCTGGGAGAATGGCATTCACCCTGAAATATTATAACCATATCCTATAGTTTATCATTTAAAATGACACAATTTGGCTAGTAGCAAGAACAATTTTGTATTAATTTTGCTCCATCTAAGATTTTAATATAATGTAAATGTATGAAACTCACCTAATATTAAACTTTCCGAGCTCTTTGGCCGCTGTCTGTGTCATAGCAACAACACCAGCTTTACTCGCTGAATAGTTTGTTTGACCTTAAAAATTTATTTAACATAATGTTACCAATTACCATCCATTACTTAACAAATGTGCTTCAAATCCCAATAAAAACAAAATGGGATTTGCTTCTCTGTTTTATCCTCTAATATTTTAAATATAATTGTTTTCTTACACTATGTTAATTTATAACACTATATATCTTACCCATATTTCCATATTTTCCTACTATACTAGAAATATTGATTATTGATCCAGGGAGAGATGCTTCCGTCAATGCCTTAGCAAATGTCTGCATCACTAAGAAAGTGCCCTGAAAATCCCAAAATTAACTTTAGGCCACCTTGATGACGATTAATTATTTTTTTCATATAATAAATAGTTTAATACTTTCATGATTTAGGATCAAGCTATACAGAAAAAAACATATAATTTCTAAGAACTATCTCAACAGAAATTCTATAAGAAATTCAGACCATTACATTTACTAAAAAATAATTCAAACCTTCAAGTTAACATCAAGAACACTATCATAGTCCTGTTCTGATAGTTTCAAGAGCCAATTATCTTTTGTAATACCGGCACAGTTGACAATAATATTAGGTGGAGTTTTATAAATACTTAATGTAGATTTTAAAAGATTCTGAACCGATTTGGAATCGGATACATCTAATTCAACTGCAGTGTGGTCACCAGTTGCTGGAAAAATTGTTTTGTTATCTCATTAATCAGCACATATTGTAATCAACAGTATTTTGAGTTAATTAAGTCATAAAACTGACGTAAAGCGATTGAACATACCATTACTGCCTGAAGCTAAAGCGGCATGTTTCTTTATAGTTTCCAAAGCAGATTCATAATTTCTATCAGCTGCTATGACTGTGGCGCCTTCTCTTGATAGCACCTGGCAAGCAGCTCGTCCTATACCTGACCCAGCACCTAGAAACCGTAGAATTAAGATTTATAATATCATTTATTTCATATAATAGAGAGAAAGTGTCTTGGGTATCAGTCTACTAAACATACCAGTAACCAATGCTAATTTGCCTGAAACTAGCTGACTAACCATTTTAATTTATTATTTTTATGCACGTATAAATTACATAAGATTATATTATATCAGAAACTATATTTTATATCTTTGATAACTTAATGCCCTTCGCTCGCGGTGTTACAAACTATTAAATAACGGTACAATATAGATACAAGATAATATAAATACCAAATAAATACAAGAAAAATGCCAATCCATTTTAAAACTTACTTTAACTGTATAGGTATCAGAATTGCGTTTCGTAAGTAATGTCAAGTATGGCTTAGCACGAAGAATTCCTGTTGATATTGTTTTTGACATATTAGTAACGTTCAAAAACAAGATAATTGAATTTTAAAACCTATTTGAGTATCATGAGTAATAAGAATTCTTTTCAACCGAGACGTTAATAAGCTTAACTAAATGGAAATTATATTAAAGTAAAATTGGAATTAAGGTTTTAGTTATCGAGGACTACATTTTTCCTATCGTAAAGTTTAAAAACTTGACTCCAAATTTTTCCCGAAAAAGTGCACAAATTATAAAAATATGAACGGTGACTAAATTAATTAATATTTGATATTTAAATGAATTTTTACTGCACTTTTTCAATAATTTTACATTGTTTGTTATACATATTTCGTTGTTGAATAATTTGAATGGAGCTAAATGTTTACTGGATAATTTTTTGATATTTTTTATTTATCAGTCTGCAAATTAAAAAACAAGCCTTAATTAAGGTTTTTCTTTAAACCGACTAGGTTTAAATCAAAAGCCTCGACTATACTGAAGCTGAAATCGGTCTTGGACATTGAATACACTTAGTGACTTACTTGTTAACACGAATCTCAAATTTTAGATTTTTAGAATACATATCAATGGAAAACGGAATAAATTTAGATTTTTTTATGCTAAAGGAATCAAAAAAGCAGACGATATTTCTGATGAAAGTAGTTACCATTGACATCCGCAACATAGGAAAGGTTGGGAAAAGACAACCGGCTTCCTCAATCATTGGACGAAACACGTCCATCTTCTGTGAAAGGGTGATACTTCCCCGGTTGAGCCGGCCCAAGTTCGAGCGATAGTTCCTTGATCAAAGCTAGGCTCTACAGACTAAAAGGCTTAAAATTAAGGAAGAATATAATTTTTTAACTTTTTATTACTCTACATAATAAAGTAGTAAACATAAAATTACCACCAGTTTAGCTTTTGTTTTCACGTTCTTAAAAACTAAAGATATTTAATTAATTTAGGAACAATTAATCTAAAATAAAATTAAATCTAAGTATGTTTAATATAGAAGAAGTTTAATTAATCGCTTAACTACCCATAAATCTAAATATGAATTTTAAAGAATTATATAAGTATTAAAAATATATTAATCCTTAATATAAAAAAAAATCTTTACATATTCAGAAACATTTCAATTTTTTTATTTTATTCATATAGATAATTTTTCTGATCAACAAATAATTTTTTATAGTTAAAATCATTTACTTTTCTTAATTCTAAATTCAGTTTGACTGCTTATAAATTAACAATTTCTTTAATTAACAATAACTGTAAATAAATTATTATTACAGGGAAAAATTAATAATATGTTATAAAAATAATTTACTTTTACATATCTTAATAATAAATTATGTTTTAAGATATATGACAAAGACAAAAATGTTATTAGAACTAATTTTATCTAATATTTTACTAGGTGTGCATTACTGGAAGTTTGTGTATTTGTAGTTATTAACAATCTTAGATAAATTAGTTGGGAGATATACAAGATTTGTATTTTTTTTTATATTTTTCATACCAACGCACTTATACCTTGGTGTTATTTAAAAAATAAAAATAAAAAACTTAAGTTATAATGAAAAATATTATTTAGTTCTAATTTTATAAATCAGATCCCTGTTTTGATAATTTTTAATTCCAAATGACATACACAATAAAAAAAACAAACATTATAAGAAAAAATAAATAAAGGAAAATAAAAAAAAACAAAAGTATAGTTTTATGCAGCTATGCAATGTCGACAATTGGTTTGAACTGTAGCCACAGTCTATCAAATTCAGTCTGGAATTGTGTTACAATTTCTTCCTGTGATGTAACCGTTACATCTTCCCAGTTCCCATTCACAGCTTGGTTTGTCCAGTTCAAAGAACCCATGATTACAAACGGTTCAAGAGCCGGGTTGAGATGACCATATATATTATCAATAATACAGAATTTATGATGCATCAGGTTGGTTGATTTCATCCAACGGACTGGTATTCCTTGTTTCTCTAATCGTCGCAAGCTAGATCCATTCGTAAACGCCATGTCAGCATCCATTATCATACGTATTTTGACTCCACGTGCGTTTAACTGAATTATTATATTTAATATATCCGTGTTAGTCAAAACATACATGCAAATATCTATGCTAGAGTAAGTAGAATTAAGATAATACAACAGCCGATCCATACTATGTGTTATCATACACCGTGAGTGTTTACTTTTTCTCAAGTCCGCCTGATCATAGGAAAACATTAGCACTTCGTTTATACCAGGATGTCTGGATTTTTTTCGGTTTTTATAGTAGGTGTATACAACGTGAGATACGAAGGCTACAGAGAGTAATGCTAGTGCAACACTGCCTGCTTTTGGAGACAGCATTTGAGATAAGTTTTAAAACTACTGTTTAAAATTCACGATAATTTTAAATTTTCAAAAACAAGTTTATCATTCTTTTGTTCAGCTTCTAAACGATATTTATAAATTAAATTTGCCGACGCTCAGCTGTCATATGTCAAATATTGCAACTTTCAGTTTAGAAATTTAGTTAGTGAATCTAAATTGATCCAGACATTATGTTACTTATTTTATTTGTATATTTATATTATATGCGTAATAACGATCAGATTGTGACATGTAAGTTCAATTATATATTGTTTATCAACAAAACTGAAAAAAAATTAGAGTATTCTTTCTTAAAGAAATTCATAAACTGTTTACTTAGTAGAAGTTCATCATCACACTACATATAAAGGGTTTTCCATTTTTCATTTAATAACTTCCTTTAATACCTTAATGTGCAAAGATTTCTGAATTATAAACTTTATATACATAGTTGCCGATATGTAACTTGGTCAGGTTTTTTAGTGTGAATAAGTTTTACGCATGTACACTTAGCTCAACAAAAAGTGGTCACTTTTGATGCTCATTAATAATAAAAATTCTTAATAATAACAAATCAATGGATTTAACTTAACTGCTTGCATAATGCATGTTTACTTACTCAGAAGCCAACACCGAATTCGAGCACGGATTATGCCGTCTGATTCCTACCGCCCCGCATGATGACTATGACACCTAAAAATCGTATCCTGCGCATCTATTGAATCTTGCTTAGGTACGTGCCAGTTACTGTACCTTACGATGCAAACTTGGGGCAGGCACATTTTTCGTGAGAATGGGACGTTGCGTCGAAACTCACGGATACTCGAGATTTTATAACACATTTATTTTTTATCTTTGTAATGATTTTTATAGCAATATTGCTGTAATTTTAAACATTTTATAAGAATAAGGATTTAGTTTGTATTTACCTCTAACTAGCGGTAAATAAAAATGTTTTTTATTTATATAGTAATTAATTTAATATGTAAATCATTTTTCTGATCAAAAAAATAAACTAAAATTGTTTAGAAATACCTCGTGTTTATTTATTGAGTTTGAACCATTTAGAATAAAACACATTTTTAATAAATATAATTCATAATTTTATTTTACATTCTACTCAAAGCGTTATATTGTTTATGGTGAAATCATGAGGTCTAATTCTTAGGTTTAAATTGTAAGAGCTGTGGTGGGCCGGCTGCAATGCCCCACTGTAGCTTCCTATCAATGCACACGAACTGTAATTGTTCTCATTGGAAGAACCATAGCCAGGAACATTCTGTGCCATGAGTGTATTCGTATTAGAAACGTATTGACGGTTTCCAACATTTTGCATCATGAGCGCGTAATCATTTTGGTATAAACTAGAATTTGTTATAGGCAGGCCCAAGTTGAAGTTGAGGTTATTGGGTTGGAAGTGATGCATCCAGGGTTCTTTGGCGTTACGATTGAAGTCCTGTCGAGGGTCAACCTGCGGGAGACCGATTGGAACTGGTATCGGTTCAGGAGAATTTTGTGTGGACGTCCGGTGTGAGGACAGAGCTGATCTTTCATTTCTTCGGAACTTCGCACGTCGGTTTTGAAACCAAACCTATAAGAGAAGAGTTATAAATATTATCCCTTGTAATTATTTATAACTACCCTCGGATTTAGGGGATTTCCGGGATTTAAAGAAGCCTATGTGTAATTCCTGGACGTCAGCTTCCTGTATACAGAACTTTATCAAAGTCGGTTCAGCCGTTTGAGCGTGAAGAAGTAACAAACATACACACACACTCACAAACTTTCGCAATTATAATATTAGTAGGATATTTAAGAAAAAATGAACTTTTTTATGAAACTCATGGCGTAATAGTGTAACACGCATTAGACGGTCATATTTTTATAATGATTATACTTTTGAATTTACCTGTACTCTGGCTTCAGTTAAACTCACTCTCGACGCAAGATCTTCCCTCACAAACGCATCTGGATAATGAGTTTTTTCAAACACCTTCTCTAACGCAGCTAGCTGTTGACTTGTGAATGTAGTTCTATTTCGTCTTGGCTTTTTCCTTTCGTCGTTCTTTCCGTCCTTATCTTCCTCTTGGTCTTTTCGTTCCCTCTCTTTTCCTTTTGTTTCCTCAAACTTCCTCCTCATATCTTCGTACGCCAAGTATTCTACAGGTTTTATGTATTGTCGTTGTAAGTCTTTCGGATACCAGGGAATGTCGTTCTGGTAGCCAGTATCGTAAGTAGCATTGATGTTGCGCCCCGCAGTTAAATGATGAAGCCTTAGCAAACTGTCCTCGTGGCATTTTATCATCTGGTAGATATTGTTTTCTGAGTAATTTGAAGTATTATAGTTAAGTTGGCTTTGAGATTTGGTTTCGTAATTCCTGGATATAACGTCCTGCTTTTGACCGTTTGGATTATCTGTATAAAAAACATATTAATGGGTTATTACTATGTTTAATGTAAGTAAAGACAGGAATAGGAAACTTATATAGATGTTTAATAAATGTTTAATTGTTAAATAACATCTGAATAACCTTAAACAACTTTATTATAAGAATAACAAATTCCCACAGCGTTTCATTGTATTTCTATAACTAGTGACGAGTGACGGTTAAAAAAATAAGCTTTTTGACTATTATAAATAAGACATCGTGTCATTTAATTCTAACTATGTTGAATTATATTTAATTTTAGTGAATAATATTTTAAAACTATTTAATAAATCCGTTCATTTTCATTGTTAAACCTTAACAAATTGGAAAGAATTGATTTTTTTTTAAATAATAGCTTTACGTTGTGTTCATTTTCATGTAATCATAAGGCAAAGGAATTTTCCAAACAGCCATACATATATGGAATTGAAAGAAGCCTTTTTTCATGTTCACGCGGTCTGTGGGACCGCGTCTGTTGGTCATTGTTCCGACGCCGGTCCGCGAAACGCTATCAGTTACAAACATATGCGAACGTTTACAAATCAGACCTAGATTGAAATAATAGTTATCTGTTACACAAAGCTGTCTTTGTAAATAAATTTAATTATTGTATTTCCTATGCCATTTTTTAGGTATTTATTTTTAAAAACAAATATCTGGATAGATTTTAACTCCTTTGATATAAACTTAATTTATATTAAATTATGTTCTTTTCGTAAATATAATCCCTTATTGTTTATGGGGTTCACTTTTATTTTAATATATTTATAGATTAGATGATTAAAGGAATGTTTGAGCCCAGTTACATTGTTTAATGTTTTTGTAAATTTATAATAAAAAATATACTTATATTTTTTTAGTTATATAATGTGTACGTAAGTACTATGAATAAAACTATCCGACAAACAGTGTTAGTACAATAACCTTTCTAAACGGGCGCCTGCATCACCATCCGCGGCGTCCGCGTCGAGCTCAGTCCCCGGATGAAATATCTGGGGCTGACTCTGGACGGAAGGTGGAACTTCCGGGAGCACTTTCGCGGGTTAGTCCCGAAACTCCTCGGGACGGCGAATGCTCTCGGGAGGCTTCTCCCCAATCTCGGCGGTCCGAGTGTGGCATGCCGGCGTTTATACACCGGTGTGTTACGCTCAATGGCGCTGTACGGAGCTCCAGTGTGGGTCGGTGCCCTCACAAGGCCGAACGTGGCTGCGCTGCACAGAGTGCAGCGCGTCATGGCGGTGAGGGTGGTACGAGCATACCGCACTGTCTCTCATGAGGCGGCTTGCGTGCTGGCTGGGACGCCTCCCTGGGAACTGGATGCCCAGGTTCTGGCGGAGGTTTACCACCAGCGCGCGCGAGATCGATCCCGGGGAACGAGTCCGGACCGGGATCGGGTGGATAGTTGGCGACGATCTGCGCGGTCGTCCTTGTTCCATCGGTGGAGGCAAAGGCTCTCTGAGCCAGTGGCCGGGTTGCGAACCGTGGAGGCTATTCGCCCGCTCCTCATGGAGTGGGTGGACCGCCGACACGGATCCTTGACCTTCCGGCTGGTGCAGATCCTCTCGGGGCACGGTTGCTTCGGGAGGTATTTGTGCCATATAGTCGGGAGAGAGCCGACAGCGACGTGTCACCACTGCAGTCGCGTGGAAGACACCGCTGACCACACCTTGATGGAATGTCCAGCGTGGATATCCGAGCGGAGCCAACTCATCCGCGTGGTTGGCGCAGACCTTTCGTTGCCGGCAGTGGTCCAGGCCATGGTCGGCAGCGAGAGGGCATGGCAGGCGGTGGCCGACTTCAGCGAGAGAGTCATCTTGCAGAAGGAGGCTGCTGAACGAGTGAGGGAAGACGACCCCTCCTCGGCGCCGCTGCGCCGACGAAGGCTGGGTCGAAGGCAGCGGGCTTATGCTCGCGACCTGCCTCCCCAGTGAGGAAGCCTCCGGGCGTCGGTGGGGAACCGGCGTCCGGGTAACATAGGCTAGAGGAAGAGCGGCGTGTTTGGCGTTCCCGGCACGCTGCTCTTGAGTCGGAGGGGTGGTGTGGTCAGCCACTGATACCCCTGCCGATGGCGGAGTCCCTTTCGGGACTCGTGCGTAGTGAGCGGAAGTATGGCTTGCCGTTCCCGCTCACTAGTCTACGCACAGCGCAGAGAACGTCGAGGTGGTTTAGTGGGTGGAAATCCCACATGCCCCTGTCGCGTTTCCCCCGCGGCAGGAAGTCTTTAAAAGATTCCCCTCGTAGAAAAAAAAAAAAAAAAATAAAAAAAAAAATAAAAAAAAAAATAACCTTTCTAAGTTTCAACTTAAAGATTGTTTTTGAAAGGAACAATCTACCTAGTACCTAACTTTTAAATATCTAAAGATCATTACTTAAAGTAAGTATATTAATAAGGCTATATTATGTTAATCACTAATCAATTAATGTGTGTATCCTAAACGTTTAAAATTTAAAAGGCTAAATTTTTTTATGCATGTTTAAAACCAACGGCTAAGCCAACCTATCATTCGAATATTATATTTACTCAGGTTTTATTTTATACCTATATTCCTTAAAAAAACGACTTTTAAAAACAATTTTTTAGTACCTTTATATATTATTTTTTTCCATCAATATATGTAAATAAGGGACCATTAGAAACAAAGACCAAACTTACTTTGTTACGAGAAGAATTAATGGGATAAAAAATATTATTTTTTAATGAAATAATAAATATTAAATATTTGATAAAGTCAATTAATAATGGCTCACGTTTTATATTGATTTATAGTCGACAAAAATCATCTTAATTTTTTTTCTTTGAATAAATGATAGAAACTTCTAGAGAGTTTCTTTCATTTCTTGAAGTAAATATAGAACACGGAAAATATGTATTTGGAAATTCAAAAATACCAGAAGGGAAAAATAGGAAGCAATTAATATATAGGTAATTATTTTTCTTTTATTTAAACAAAAAGATATGAATTCAAAACATTCTGGCTTTTAAATGAATAGTTACATAACCTTAGCAAGGGTTTGTTTAGTTTTTCGTGTTTTACGTGTCCTATTCATGAACCTACGTTAATAAATGTGTGGAGATTTATGATTGAAATACTTTTAACGCGCCGTATGTAGTACGATGCGAACTTGTGTTAAGCGTGACGAATTCACACTTAGGTATGCGCGCTACATTTAATGTTATTGAAGTCTTGTTTTAAATATATGGTGGGCCGACGGTACTTCTATTTGCTATAGAATTTGTTGCAAATTTTGATGTTTATTATAGTTCCTTTAGACATTGTAAAAGCTTGTTGATAATTATATAGAGTTAAATTTTCTTTCAGACTTTCGTGCACATCAAAAAATTAGATCGTTGGTTAAGTAATGATTATAATTCATTCAAGTATTTCTTATTATAAAAGATTCCAGAAGAGAAACTTATAACGGAAATAAATTATTTTCTCAAAAAATAGTTTAATGAATGAGTAAAAATTTATTTTATTGATTATTGTTAAGAGTTGTATATGAGATTACTATTTTTTTTCAATTCTAGTTTGTCAATATTTTTTGAATTTCATGGAACAATAAAAGAAAATATTGTTCTTTTTAACATAATGCTCTCAAATAGAAGTTGAAAGGGAAGACAATAAAAGTATCTACAGTGGTTATTTTATATATAAATTTTATAAAAGAAACTGTGAACTAGGGATATATTAAAAGTATATTAAATTATTTTTATTCCACTTATAATAAATCTACATAATTATGACTATTTTTTCTAAGTTATTCTATATCTTTAACACAAGTTTGTATGATCATACTTTATGAAAGCCGTCTCCCGTTTATCATTTTTGTGAAGTTATTTGTGACATATTGCATGAAAACTCTTAAAACATAATATGTAATGTGATAATATTATTTTAATTTGTTTAAATATCTCTTAGTATATTATATACAATTTATTGTTAAGTTAATATTAACTAAGTATTAATTGAACGAATTAATATTACGCCTTTATCGAAAACGAATGGATCATAACAATAATATAAAAATTATAAAGCACTACTTTATATTTTAAATGAATTCACACTGAAGAATTTATATTTTGTGTGTTCAATAACATTTTACTTGTAGTAAACAGATGCATGAAAATTATATTACAATTGTATTTCTATAAAAAAATCTATTGCTATTATATGGAAAATTCTAAGCCACAGAAAAGTGTAGGTAATTTAAAATATATAGGTATGAATGAAATGTCGAGGTTAACATTATTAAGTTTTGAACCCAACAATTTAGGTTAACCATTCCTAATAAAATTGTGGCCTATATTTTAGGACTTTTACTTACATTTAACATCCACATTTCAATAATTCAGAGAAGCTGCGCAAGCGCAATATCGCAAATAATTACAAATATCGACTCACCTTTAATTTGATCCATTTTAACATAAAATATTTCTGTCACCAATCAATTATATTATAATCAAAACTCTACGAACATCGTATGTTAGTAAAATTTAAATCATTTAAATTTCTAAACAATGTCGCATTCTATTTAAATAAATGTCAATGTCCAGTCTCAAGTCGATCGAAATTCTAATGTTTATTAATACACAAACTTATTGAATTACTATAATTAAATAATTCAACTAATTCAGATAATGTGCGAACTAATGGAGTATCTATCGCGATCTGGCTTTTCGGTTACGCTGGCCTGATGACATGTGTGTATCAAGAAATATTTCGAGAGCATCCCTTAGATACTCCCAATTAAGAGCAAGTCGTAACATTCTGAGCTTTAATATAAGTTAAAAGAGTTTTTAATCGCTTGGCTGAATGAATTCACAATTGTGAATCAACCTATTACAATTTAAACCTTAGTCTAAAGATGAGTTGAATCGATTTCTGAACGTATAGCGACTTTCTTGAGACGTTGTTGGTATGAATCTGTGATGTTTTAAGGCGTGGTTCACGTTTTCCCGCCTTGTTGAAAAAAGTAACAATCCCGAGCCGAAATAATTGACGTGTCAACTTATATTATTTATAGGTTAAAAAATTATGTTAAAACTGTTTATGTGATTGCTCTTGAAAAGTTTATGAAATGAGCGCGGATGTGGAAATTGTTTTTTTTTTTTTAGAATGGAATTAAACTTAGATATGTGCTGCAAGGAGGTATGTTTTAAAAAGTTTACCTTATTTTTTTTTATTATACAGGATTTAAAGTGTAGTACCATCAACAATATAGTTCCTCAGGGGTTTCAGTTTTATAAAAAAAGTATTTATTTTGATTTTCAATTTTAAAACATAGACTATAGTTTAGAAATCTTTCAATAAGTACAAGAAGTTGTAAATTACATATGTGATTAGTGATCGGATAGAAATGAATGATATTAATTAATATATAGCAACATAACAGAAACCAGTGTTCCGTATATCGGTTAAAATTTTAGAGATTTCCGTCGTAATGCATTCTCGGCCGTGCCAAGCCGGGAATAGAAGCGACGCCCGTCTCTTCGAATTACTGTTAAATCATGAAAAACGTCCGCAGCGACTGCCAGACGCGGCCGCATCCAGCTTTACATGCTTCATATAATTATAATAAATTAACGAATTATGAAACTTGAAAGATAACTAAAGAAATATCTTTATTCGTTTTGCTTTCTCAATAATTGGTCTTCCTGTATCCTGAAATAATCTGACTTAAAAATTATTAGAAACGAAAGTTACGCACGTAAAATTCCACCAATGAGTGGAATATTTCAAATTGAAGATTAACAAAGGGTTAAATTTTTTTGTAATAAAACCCAGATCAAGTCATACTCTACATATATATAAAAAATAAATATAAATAAAGTTTAAAATTCCTTAAGTCTCAGAACTCAAAGCAAACGCGCCAAAGTGTCATGGCGGCTGTAATTGGGGGTGACAGTTGTCTCGACGGGAGCGGCTCGTTTGCGCATGCGCGTAACGAAAACCTACTGATCACGTCTTGTACTCTAATAATACACTTAAATAAATTAATATTAAAATGACAAGCATCTCATGTAACTTATACGTCTTATTTTAAAGTTTAAACCACTGCCTTATAATACTCACACAATTTCCATTATTAATTATATCACAATTCACAAGGTAATTATGAAATGAGGTTACAGTTTTATTTCTATAAAACAACAAGTAGAAAGTAAAAACTTGAATTGCATTTCAATGAACATTCAAATTTGGCGTTACTCAAATAATTTTTTAAATACAAGAAAGAGATTTATTTCTTTTTATATTATTTTGTATACCTATAGTTTTTAAAAATCTATGGGAAACATACCTAATATTACATAATTTATATTATTGAAACATACATAATACATTCGATGGACCCGGCACCCGCACGGTGAATACATTGAATGCTAAGAAATTTGATCTCGTTAAATTATATTTTTGTATAGGTATAGTAAAACAATACGATTTTTTTTAATCAGCCCCTATTAAATCACTAAATAATTATTTTTCAATGATATTCAATAAAATAGAATCGAGTAAAGAAATGAAAAAATCCTCGTAAGTATGGAGAGGAATAAGTTAAAAATTTTAATAAGCAATAAATCAAGTTGGATGTTTTCGACTTAATTACGTGATGTTTGTCGTTTTCGCCACGGTGGTCTAAATTGGCGTGTGTTCATAGAGGGCGGAAAACCGGGACCAATAGTCCGTGAAAGAAACCATTCGTCAAAATTTCATCCGGTAGAGGAGATATTAATACAAAAAATATTAGGATAATAATTCATATTTTTTTATATAATACTAATAGACAGAAAAATTTAATGTTTTATTTTTTTAATTTAAATGACACTTAATTAAGAAGAAATGACATCCATTATTTTTAGATCAAGCCTTAGATTTTTCTTGTTATGCCAATGTATATGCTTGAGATATTTCTTATTATTTTGTTTTAATAGGTTTACCAACAACTGTACAGTGTAACAACTACTTAAAGGTAAACTCCGCATGCACACAAATTTAAATAAGTCTACTTTAAAAAACTATAGAACAATTTTTCGCCACTATAAAAATTACAAAGTTCGCAAAAAAGAGATAATATATTATTATAATTAAACAAATCATTAAAAAATATTTGTATCATTGTCATAATACTCCATTCAGCATGCGCGGGCGCATCACAATTACATCAAATCACTTAAGCCATCGATCACGACGAATTCATGCAACGCTTCGCCCCAACGATTAATTAGTTTATTTTAACGCTCCGTACGAACGAATATACACAGATAATTAAATTACAACCGCTTAATGGGTTTTAAGAAATGTACAGATGAAAAATATTTAAAGGCAGGACGAAACTTAGAATAAAGATAATATTTTTTTCAATAATATTTGCAAGATGATTGTCAACTTTAAATAATTCATTTAGTTAGTTTTTTTTTTGGCCGTTAAAAACCTAACTTTTTATGTATTGAAAATTCAAAATAGCAACGCAATCGCTCATACTACAAAAAAGTTAAGAAACAATTAATTCTTTTTACATATAAACAAAATATTCCAATTTAATTACGTTTAATATTTAAATAACATAATTGAATAAAAATCTATACATTTTTATTTACCAAACTTTCAAATTAAAATAATATTATCTATAAAAGGAGAGCAAAAAATTGGCGAACCAATAACTAAATTTATTGTAATAATAACTTCACGCCTCATCACCGTCCTCAGTGTTGACATCACTTTATTAATGAGTTTTAAAGTCAACGGGTCGTAATGGCAACACTGGTTCAGGAAGTTGAGGCGCCTGCGATTTGCGACGGACACGACTCGTTTGACGTTTGCATTTATTAAATATTTTTGACTTTTTATGTCTACTGCATTGTGATATGATGAATGCTCGTTAAATATTAAAGTTGATACATTTTAGACAACATATGTAATTACCTAGTTGTTTAGTATAATTGAACTCTATAGTAACTTTCTTGAATATTTGATTAAAAAAATCACTGCCTACCAAACCTCTTAAATTTATAATGCTCTGTTTCTGATCTACACCTTAAAAATACTTTTTACCAAATTTCTTAGCATCGATTAAAATTTATGAATAAAAATATTAAGATCCAGTTGCATATCGCTTATCAGTAACTTTGTAATTTACTACAAAAGTTTACTTTATAAGAATTACAATAAGTTAACAATATTTTTCACTTAAATATTTGGTCATATATCACATAAATAAATATTTTATTAATAAAAAAACATCCAATGATAAGTTTAGTACATTAAAACTGCGTATGATATGGTTTAGAAATGTCGTAATAATTTTTTCTTACTAATAATAATTTGTAAAAATTTTATTTCAACTTCCTCAGGATATCTATGATAATTTGTGATCTATAACTATCTTAATTAAAAACACACCACCTAGCGGCCTTTTTAACTTTTTACGTATGTCGTTAAAATGTTGCTTTTTTATGACAGCCCGCTAACAGTACATCGGCTCGGTTAAGAGCATGTCAACGTATCTATTTTAACATTTCACTGTCAACATTTCCCGCGGGACATAAATGCACTTCAGATTTGACATGTCGCCCTTTTTACCTTAAATTTTCTAAACCCCGCTATCATTTTTTTAATACAAAAAAACTATCTATATTTGTTTGTGAATTTAAAAGATTATTATAGAAAAAGTTCTATTGATGAAATAATAAATATTATTAAATATATTTATATACCGATTGTAATACAATATGTGCATGTTTCTCGGAATATTCTTAAATAGCCGACCACCCTCTGTTCTTACCAACATATCGGTTACAGAGATCTCGCCGACAGACCGACACACACTGTCAGCTGGACCGTGACCTGTCAAATTACAGTGATTCTTTATACAAATAGGTTGAAACTGTTACATAAAACCTCCTTAGACTTCGATCTATATAAAAAAAAGAACAATAAAATATGTGCGTAATTATACACGAAAATTATTATATTATTTACCATTAAATACATACCTATAAGTTATAAAATCCTATATATACGACCCTTTCATAATATATAAGACCTCCTTAGACACGGAACTATATAAAAATAAATATCAATACACGTGTCCGTCGAATAATACACGAAAATTATTATTTAACTTTAAATATAAGTTTTAAAATCGTCCATATTTTAAGTCTTTCCAATGAAATTAAGCGGTTTCAATGCCCCGGCGAGATAACAACAAGATTTGAAGCAATTACGTCCACATTACAGGCATCAAGCCATTATTTTGTCCACGCGTTCAGTGTATACGATTGAAATCGCCCAGATTAATCTTATAGAGATTTCAAAGAGTGAAAATTTGTCCTGACAATATTTACGACGACAGTATTAAGTAGCTCATGATCTGTAGACATCAAAGCTCGCTCTGTGACCATAATTTTTCGTATTTACGTACTTACGATCGTGCATGAACATTGAGAAACTGACGATCTCTTCTTTAATTACAATTTATGTCACCAAAAAGTCTTTATTTGTATATGGAATAAAATTAAATTTGAATTCATAAAAAATGTATAAAAAAGAAAATATATTAGTATAGTTTTGTTATGCGTGAAAAGAATAATCAACGAAAATCTATATTTTTTTATCTTGACGTTATATTATATATTGTTTTTTTTATATTATGGTTATACTACATCTTAGTGAGCGTCTGTCAGTTCAGCCGTCACGTGTTCGGGCAACAAGAAGGTCGCATTGCTCCTCGGGGAACACTTACAAAAAAATAGACATGTATGTTTTGTAAATAATATTTTATTGCATCTCTTTTGCCAATGCCGATGTACGGTAGCTTAAAAAACTTTTACGGTTAAATTATTTTTCTTAAAATATATTTTTAATAAATACGTTATGTTATCTAATTTGTCTAGAGGAAGTAATGTTCTAAATACTATTTCTTCATCTGTAGCAGCTGTACTGCTATCAATCGTTTGATTAATTCTTCATCTTCTTCATCTACGTCCAGAACTTCTCCGTTTTCTCCATATTCTTCGTCATCTTCTCCACTATCTTCTACTATTTCAATCTCCGGTTCTTGTTCATCATCATCTTCTTCTTGTTCGCTACTTTCTTTTATATCTTCTTCCTCTTCATCCCAAGCCCCGGAACAATTATAGTGCCTGTTGATTCTAAGCCAATCCTTCTCAGTGATGAAAACTCTTTGACCCATTGTACCTTCGAATTCCTGAAAATATACTTCATTAATGCTCTTAAATGTGAAATAACTGAATATATGTGTAATGAAACTAATACTTTCGGATTACTATGCGTATTTTATTATTTTAACTACATGCTCCCGACGTTTCAGTCACTTTGTCTCATCTCGTCTATAATTTTTTTAATAATAAAATAAAGCGTAGTAATCTGAAAATATTAGTTTCATTTAAATGATTACTCGAAAGTCCTAGTTCTCATTAAATGTATGTGTGATCCTACTAATATTATAATTGCGAATGTTTGTGAGTGTGTGTATGTTTCTTACTTCTTCACGCTCAAAGGGCTGAACCGATTTCGATTAAATTTTGGATACAGGAAGCTGACGTCCAGGAATAACACATAGGATATTTTACATCCCGGAAATCCGCAAGTAGCACCGCGGGGCGCAGCTAGTATTCATATAAAGTATAGTACTGACCTTTTTAGGTACAATAGTTGGTTCACCATTGACTGAGAACGCGAATGGTCCGTAGTGGAGACAGCTGACGTAGTCATATTCAATACCATTGTTACTCACGAGTTCCGAGGTGTAGATATCGAAGTTATGGAACATACCTGTTCATAAAAAAAAACCTAATAAATTTCCCATAAAGACCTCAGCAATGAAACAAAAATTGCTTTTATATTCTTATGGTGTAAATTGCAAATGAAATTAGTAAATAGTTGGTATGTGTTATAAAATTTATTGAATATCATATTGAAGTCGAATCACGCAAGTATAATTTTATCCTTACCACACTACCAATTGTACTTTACACTACATAAAGTCTCTATTTTTATATGAACATTGGTAACATTTCAAGCTCAAACTCAAATAACTTTATTCAATATAGAAGCATTACACTTTCTTATTGACGGTCACTTGAGACACTACCACCGGTTCGGAAAAGAAAATACCCTGACCCTGAGAAGAACCGGCGAAAGAAACTCATTGGTAATTATATAGCATATATGAATCAAATACTGAAAATGCTGAATGTATAGTTTTTTTTATATATATAAACGCTGAGTGTATAGTAACACAAACATGTAGTAAGTTTATCCAACTGACCAGGTACAACATTCTCTTCAATGATGTCCACGTAATCGTCTCTGTTGTAAGTGGAATGCATGTGCATGAAGCCGAGTATGTGCATCCACTCGTGCACTATAGTCGCGTGTCTGAAGCAACCAACGCCGGGCAGGTTGCGAGCTAGGTTCAACGTGTGAACCCCGCGAGGTTGCCAGTAACCTACGTGAGCATAGCAACCTCCTGCTCCACCCTGATGTAACGATAATACAACAGTAATGAGCAATGATGTTAATTACTTTGATAGTTTTAAAACGGTAACAAATCTTATCGGGATAATAGGATGGTTTAAATGAAACTAATATTATACGGATTACTACGAGTATTTTATTTTTAAAAACTACATACTCCCAATGTTTCATATTTCGTCTGCCCGTGATAACGGTAACTACAAAATAACCCAAACGTCGGGAGTGTGTGTTTAAAGTAACAAAATACGCGTAATAATCCGTTTCATTCAAATGAATATTTGAGAAAGTTTTAGATCTCATTAATATAATATAGGATAATTCATAGAATTATTGCATTGTCACCAATAACTGTTAGGAATGCAAAGTTTAAAAAAAACGAGTCGCTAGAAGTAGTGACAAAATTAGCTCAAAGACTGACTACAAGAAAACTATCATACAAGTAAAGCTAATAAAAGCGTGTTAAAAATATAAAGCTTTAAAGTTTTCTGTATTAATTTGTTTACGTAGGTAAAGGCATATTTGAATAACTTAGTTAAATTTAACGAAAGAAATACAAATTTCGACTTCCTTCGTTTTTCATGTTTTTTATTTACGTAAAAATATATGTTTACGTAAAAATATATGTATTCATGTTTACGTAAAAATATATGTATTTTTGTAATGTACTCCTATTTCAGTTACTTTATAATCGGTTTCATATTACATAATTAAATTTGAATAATTCAGTTTTACAAGAAAGTTTACAATTTTTACTCGTTTAATAGTGCGAACGTTATTTTAATTTTATCATCAACAGTTACTTAATAAATTGACCATTGAGATCATTTCATGAAAGAACAGATATTAGTGACATTTACAAAGTATATTATGACGGGAGAGTATTTTACTATCGAAAATATTCAGAAAAAATAAATGGTAACACTCGCATTAATACTTAAAATCTTGATTTTTAAAAGATTTAAAGTGCATTAAATTAGTGCATTAAAGAGATTAGCAAGCAGCTTTCAACCGCGTTCTTATTCCAAGTTTTCATCGTCACACTACATACTTAGCGTTTCCCGTTTTTCATTACGACTTGCGTTGATACTAGAATGTTCGAGATTTGTAATTGAAATACTGTTAACATCTACTTAGTTTAACGATGCAGACTTCGATAGCCTATAGTGGTAACAAAAAATATGGCTTCAAAACGTAAAAACAAATCTTGTACTCGCATTTTGACACATTTTGATATAACAAAGTCAGAATAAAGTGCATTTAAAAGACTCACAGTAACATTTACAAAGACAGTGTCTTCTGGCTCCCGGTAGCGGAACTTAATACAAGTGTGATTTTCTATGTCTTGTATTCCTTCCTTAATGGCTTGTTGCTGTAGAGGACCTAATAATAAGAAAAGATAGCATAAATTTAAAATATATAAATTATCTTTTCACAAGGAAAGTTCAGATTTATGAACTGTATAGATTTTTATATTTGTTTATACTAAAAATAAAATTATTCAATATCTTTATTAAAACACATCCAAAAACTTTAATAAATTTAATTGTGTACGATTTTTTTATTATCTATTATTTGGAATGTTACAAGGATAAAATATATTATTATTTTAAAAAAGTATATCTGATAACAATATAGATAAAATATTTAATCTTTCAATTAAAAGCCACGCGCTCTTTGATTTAATATCAAGTATTTACGTATATAGATTAATAATAAACACTAATACAGCGATATTATTTGTATGTTTGTTTATGATATTATTTTATTGAATGAGAAAACAGATAATAACCGATTTAATAAAAAAAATAGCAGTTTTAGAATAATTTATTAATTAAACCGGATACCCTGTTATAAGGACATACTTTGTACTGGGACAATGACATTTAATCCAATTAAATTTTTCCCGCAACTTTGCTTCTATATTAGAGCTTACAATTAAGATCTTCTATATTCTAGATTTATTTGACGTTAAGTGGGCTATATTAGTCCTTTACAATCAACGTAAAAGTTCGCCCGAAACGATTTTAGTTTATGGGTAGGTATGTGAGTAACGAACACATACATACATATGTATATTATATAGAAGGATTACGTTTTTCATCAAGGAAGACCAAAAAAAACAAAAGATTTTCTCTTTCCCAATTTTTTTATGAATTGGCTGGACCGATTTTGTCGAGACTTTCACTGACTTATAGCTAACATAAGAAGGAATGACTTCGCCCACCAATATATTACAATTTTTCATAGTATAGTCAATACAATTAGTCATTTAAAACGCTTCCTTTTTGTTATTTTATTTTCTTATGACATTATTTAAAAATTATTCTTAGCTAGATCAATTTATCGCCCCCCAAAAACCCCTTATATACTAAATGTCGTGAAAATCGTTGGAGCCGATTCCGAGATCAAATTATATATATACACAAGAATTGATCATTTAAAGATATAAAATATTATCTATATAGTTACAGATATACTATGTGATTTTAAACGGAATGATATTACATATTATTTAGACTTTAGATCTCAACTTACCAAATTCACCTTCTCCGAACTGCCACACAACAGTGTTATTTGGCCAGTGAGTGTCGGGGAAGATGTAAGCGTTTCTACCCACGGCGTAACCTTGTACCATGTCTTCAATCATGAAGTCATCCAAGATTATATCACCTTGGAACTTGCCGCTGTTTTCCTCGGGATTGGAAAACGGAGACTGCTTCGTGCGAGCCAGGAAGTTGTTCCCATCATCTTGATGAAAAATATTATTAAAATCACATACTTAATTTGGCTTTACTTACTTTAATAGCTATATATATGTTTCTTTCTTATGTTACCTATTTAATTTATATGCAAGCGTTTATAAAATAGACACATTTCAACTTCTTTTTTTCTAAAATTAGTGATAACTATTTATAATAAAATAAATAGACGGAGATATTGAAGTTATTCTTACCATTTCAATTAATTTAATATTCATTTTATTTTAGTATTTTTTTCCAATTACTTACTGGTTTTGGTACTCTCTAAGAAGTTCCTAAACGATTCAACCTCCTCTCGGCTCCTCACTAGCGCGGGCGACGCCGCCGCCAGTCCTAACACACACAGTAACAATACGGTCCGAATCATACTTAAATGAAAAATAAAAAATAGCCGCTTTTATATGAAACAATTCGATAAAAATCAGAATATTTCAAAATAATCACTATTTACAATATTGATTACCCTTTATCTGTAAATAATTAGTCTATTTCATATACCTATTGGTACGTCAAATGAGTAATTATTGTATTTCGTATTAATAAGGATTACAAAATTATTAATCATATGTTTCAAAGTTTATGGGTGTAAAAATATTAAAGAAATATTGCCCTCTTAGTGGTTAATTTTTTTTAAGGAACGATAAAAAGAGGGATAAAGTATTTGAACTTAGTTTTTTTTATTTGTCCGAGTTAAGATATGAATTACTTTTTAACAATTTTGTTAAAGAAACTGGAATGTAACCAATTGATTCATTGAAATATTAATAGTTATTGACCATTGCAAACATACCGAGATATAAATGACAATTTATAATTTCTGTTATTTCCGAGTCGTCATAGTCATTTTTAGTGTTACAATAATAATATGTATCAGATTAGTGATTAGAGTATTTAATCAATATTTTTCATCAATCTATTAGTCAATAAAAAACCCCGGAGTTTTTAATGCTTAGGCCTAAGAATGATAAGAGACAAAACATAATTTGTTTTGACATTATTTATATGATGCTAAACCTATTGATTTTCTATTAAATACACAATACTTCATTACAATAACCAGAGACAAATCGTTCAGTTTTATGATATAAACTAAATTTCTCTTCTTCTACCTGGCAATTTCCCAGCTGTAGCCAGGGTCTGCCTTACATGTTGTGAACAGTTTTGGCTAATTGTTTTTACAACCGGCCGCCTGCCTGACATCAACCCTCTTTTGTGAATGTATTAATCAGTGATGTCTAAATACTCTTAGAGAGTACATATGACTCAGAGAAATCACATTGGTACTTGCCCGGGCCAGGGTTGAACCCGCGCCCGCGAGCATGACAGGCGGGCCTGTTAACCACTAGACCACAACTGACTTTGACATAAACTAAATTTCTCGTTTCGTGATAACTGATAAGTGAAATCAGTTTTTTTTTTAGGTTTCATGACAATGTTTTTGAAGATCATGATGATGGAGGAATTAGTTCCAGAAGGGATTTATTCTAGAATAGGTTAAGGTATGGTGATTTCTGTTAATTACTGTCAAGTCGTCATAGTTTGAACGCCTCGAAAAATCATAGTGAATAAATTACACTAGGTACCGTCGTTCCATTTGCTAAGGTTTATAAATCGGCATCATTATGAGTAATGCATCACGATGTCTTCGTTTTGCCAAATACCATCATTTCATCCAAAGAATCCTCTCATAAAGGCTTTATTTTTGGCAAGTAATGTAGCTTTTGTAGTGAAATAAATAAAGGAAATCTATTTGATATGCAAGCAAATATTTCATAGTGACTAGTTTATAGAGCCATTCTGAATATTGAGGACTTTGTCTTTTTATAAGAAACTAGCTGACTCGGCAAAACGTTGTTTTGCCGTATAAAAATATAGGGGTTGGGGATAAAAAAGTAAAAAAAAAATTTCGTCCGAAAATTAAAAAAATATTAAAGGTGAACAACCCTTATGACTTTGGGGAATGAAAAATAGATGTTGGCCAAATTCAGACCTACTAAATATGCTCACAAAATTTCATCAAAAACGGAACAGACGTTTCGGAGAAGTTCTCAGTCTAACACTGCGACACGAGAATTTTATATATAAGATAGTTCCTATAGAACGCATCTATTAAAAATCATAAAAAGTGTTGACATTTGCCTTCATATATGACTATTTTGGTTCCTTCATTGGCATACAGCAGCATCAGCAATTCAGTTTTCAGTTCATAACAACAGTAGTCTTTTTGCAAGTTGAACTAATACATTGCTCAAAAGTATTACCACTTTTCCCTTCTACAGTCTAGTATTTATGAGTGTTAAAGCACAAGTGCCAAACCAACGAACTTAGGGGATGTATTGGCACAGACTTATTTAGTATTTAAACATATTTGTAACTAGGTATCCTCCCCGGCTTCGCAGGGGTACTTTACAAAAAAATATAAAATAGCCTATGTTGCGTATATAGACAAATAAAACTTACATCTTTCTTCGTTAAACATTAAAAAAACGGTATATTTTTATTAATAATAGTTTTTTTTAATATAATAAAATTAAAAAAAGATATTATTATAGTATATATACAAAATTAATGACGTGATCATGTGAAAAAGTGAGCTAGCGTGGATTTATTTTTGAGATTTATTAAACTTATGATAACTTTCACTTGGTCCGAATAATAATTAATAAAATAGAATAGATATAAAATACCCCCATACATTGTTTTGTTTTACCTACGTCAAGGGTTTTGGCAGCTTTTTCATTAAAAGATCCCAGATGTCTTATTTTTTTCCGACATCTTCAACAAATATCGATAATGTACATAAAAATCAACACAAAACCTTAACAAATTCTGTATTAAAACCTTTCTCGAGAATCACATTTTCAAATGGTTAAAACCGCTTGAGAATTAGTGCAGTCGTTTTTGTGTTTATCACGATCAGAAAGACGGGCAGAAGCACTGGGGACTTTGTTTTATAATATTTATTGACAAAAAATTGGATTTGTACTATGACTTGAAAGAACATACAACAAAACATACTTCAAAATCAAATTTATTTGCTCTATATATAAAAATAATTTTCATAACTCTAATTAATAAAGAATAAAATATCAATATAATACTTACATATCATATCATAACAAACATAAAGTTAAAATATTGGACGTGATAACATTCTCTCTGTCCTCATAATTTTTAATATAAAAATTATTCGGCCTCACTCAGACAGCCACGCCGTGTGCCATACAAAAATAATATAGAACCTCCATACACATACCGAACAAAAAAGCTCTTATAATAATTGGAATAAGTGCAATGCACCCCAATTTATACACGAAAAATAATATATTTAATGCTAGAAATACAAGTATAAAAAAATACGTAATACAGTACAAAAAACTTACATTTAATCTTATATTATCAGTTCAATTAAACTTTACACATTCTTACATAGTTGCCACTACCTTATAACGCACTTACACGCTATTGGCATACATCAATCATACCTTATATTAAATGTAGCTTTCATGTGGCACATTGTTTTATACTTACATTAATACATAATATTATAACTAAAAGAAGTACTTGTGCCCTTAAGATACAGTTTTATTATATAACAATTTACTTGGCTATTTCGACGGTATAGAATTTGATATGGACAATAAATAGACAACCAAGATAATAGATATACTATAACACAGAAAGAAGTTATTTTATATTAAATAATTGTAATAATTGCAGTTAATTAACAAATTATTATTACCGCCATAACTGACAGTTGACGTTTGACATATATTGGTTGGTCAAAAATGAGTAAAAGTAAACAATAGTCGAGAAAAAATTAAGTTTCATCTTTGAATTGAAGTACAAATGTTGTAATACAACAATATTTTAACCTACTTAATAATAATTAAATCTAAGATATACCAAAAATATTTTTTCATATTATTGCAATAGTGCTTGCTTTCAGCATATTTTTTTCTAACAACAATCGGCAGTGACTTACTGGTTACGATAGCTGTCTTACGCAGCTTAAAAATTTTGCAAAAACAAAGCATAAAGTAAATATTATTTTATATAAAAAGTACAAAATATAACAAGAATACTTTATGCCAAGTATTGCACGTAATAACAAAAATAATAATTATAAAAAAAAAACTTTTACGAAACTAAAACAAATATATTGTAACTACGTTGTCACAGAACTAAATAATAGCAGATTGCTATAAAAAAAGACAAAAAAAATTTTCAAAAATTTAAACATAAAGAAACTTAAATAAAATGGCAATGATCTTTCGTTAATTACTTCAGATCTTGTTATGAAGCTAATATACTTATTTTGAAAATATTTACATATATATGTAAACCAAAATATATTTTAATTAATACCTATACATATTATCTTTAAGATTTAATGCTTGGAAGAAGTTATTTGTAATAAATCTTTCCACGGTGCCTGATTTTGTGCCAGCAAATCAAATCATGCAGAAGAATTGTACACATCAAATTTTCATTGTTAACTACAAAAAATCCTATTTGTTCATATTCACTTATAACAGGACTGTAATATTATAAAATTTTAGTTAATTGCATGTTAGAAAACCATCTAAATCATGGGAATGGCAAGATCAATAACCTTATACTTGTGCGTCATACAATATTCTTAAATACTTCAAACAAACATTTTGATCGCCATACACGGAACTTAAAGCAACCGTCTCACATAACATAGCTATTTGGTTACTTCATAAGTCCACTATATATAAATTGTTCCCTTGTTCTTATTTAATAATAGCTAATAAAAGCATGTGGCAGTGAAGTTACATGTAATGAGCTCAACACAAAAACACTCCTATAATTGTCTTTGGTATTAACTGTCAATGTCAAATGAATGCGCCATTGGCGGTCTGTAAAACCATATAATTAATTTTATTTTAATTTATACATAAATGTTTTTCGGGAGTGTTTTGCGTGTTAAATAAAAAAATAATGTAATAAATATATATGATATTATGGAGTATTCGGTTCAACGGCAGCGATGTTATAAAATAAATGCATAATAATATCCAAAGTTATTAAAAATACGTATTACGATACTAAATGTTCATGAAAGCAGTCTTCGTTTCCAAGGCCGAAATTAAGAACTTATATTAAGGCAATAATATCGTAATATCACTAAATTATATATACTGTGTCTTTATGAAATTATAAACGAAACAAAATATATGCTCATAGCATTGTTCGTTATGGGATATCTGATGTGATATCGATAAATTTAAAATCATATAAAACTATAGTTTTATGGAATATAGGGATTGAATGTAACGATATTTTGAATATCGATACATCGACAGTTAATCTATCGATATATTGCGGGTATAGCCTATGTAGCAGTTGAGCAAAGAGTTTATTCAATGATCTCCTCGTAGAAGTTCCATGAGGAGGTTGAAGCTCGGTCCCTCTCCGTCTTTGCTTTTATTCGCTGGATTGAGCATCTCTTTTCCGACTTGCATGAAAAACTGAAACGATTAAAAATTTATCAAATAAAAATACAAAACAAACATAACAAACTTGAGAAAATATAAATAATAAGGTGTATTTTACGAAAATTTGCATTTCAAATAGAAGTTAAAAAACTTAATGACACTTATTCTATCATTATTTTGTTAAGGTCGATATTCAGTGTGTAGTGACTGGGGAGATTTCTCTAGATTTTTCTCAATCACCCCATAATTAATTTTCGTTCTATTAAATGGTTAAGAAAATAAAAAAGGTGTTAACTCTATTCAAAAACGAGATATACCCAAGTCAAACAATTACCAAATGTATAACTAATTAACAGAAGTTCCATCCTACTAATATTATAATTGAGAAAGTTTGTGAGTGTGTGCGTATGTTTGTTACTTCTTCACGCTCAAACGGCTGAAGCGATTTTGATAAAATTTTGTATACAGTAAGCTGACATCCACTAATAAAACATAGGCTACTTTACATCGCGGGTAATTCCGCGAGACGCAGCTAGTGTATAACTAATTTATCTACATATAGTTTACTAACCTGGCAAGTTCTCTGTAGTTCTGGTATTCTCAGCAGTAGTTCACCAAACTTGGCAGGTGTGTCGGGTGAGTGTGTGGCGGTGTACGCCTGTAAGGCTGCCAGCGCCTTCTCCTGGGACGCCCTGACCTTCTCCGCTTCATGAAGCTCTGGAGCATCTGGAAAATAAATGTAATAAACTTTACTATGGAAAAAATATCAATGATGGTGATTAGTAGATATTAATATAAATTTAGGAGTCAAATGGCTTTACTGATGTTTTTTATAAGTAAAATATAGTGAACATTTCAGGAGTGATATTTACTTTCTGATTCCATATAAAATACTATCATAACATTATACTTATCACTACTATTACTACTAGTACTACGCTCCTGCTTGAATGATATTATAGTATATGTAGTATTACTTGAAAACCTATATATTTGAGTTATTATATCACTGAGTGTGCATATTTAGTTGTCTTAAATCATGATCAGTACCTATATAATATGTAGCATCACTTTGCCAGAAATGAACTGCATTATATTTCTTAATGTGACTAATTGAAGGTCGATTTCTGACGTTATAATATACGCCGTTTGTCTTATATCAGCAAAAATTTTACCAGAATATTAAATCCGTTTACTAAGGAGATTGTCCAGGTCAAATGGATATAAACAGATATTTGGGAGTGATCATTTCTTTGATTGTTCATTATTGGTCGTATTATTTATTGTTAGTACCTGAAGTGAGTAATACGATGACCTTGAGCGCGACGTACTCATAGCGATCAACACGCAGCCTCCTCAAGTGATCAGTGAAACTCAACATACGTTCAATACACGGAGTTAGACCGTACCTGCAAATATTAGGAAATTTGTTACTCTCATATAAAGTGAATTGTAAAATCTGTATTTACATTTAGATTGCAATTCTTGTATATGTGAATTAGTAAGTTTTTGAAGACTGCATTAGTATAATTAATTATACAGTCGTATACTCTTAGCAGAATATGTATCTTTAAACTATATACAGAACAGTTAACGATTTTCATCCATAAATCTAGTAGATGTTCATATCTAATTTTAATTTGAAGATGAAAGCTCATTTTAAGCAATATATACTGTATAAAAATGGTGTCACATAATTTACTTCATTATAGGAATTCATAGTGACAGTATATAAATAGTCCCATACATACAGAAAATTTATTTTATAACTTATTATATTATATAATATATAAATGATGTTTTATACTGACTTGGCGCTCTGTTGTAGCGTTATCCCCCTTCCTCCCCCGACCCGCACCTCACCGGGAGTACTAACTCCTCTGTAGCAACAAGACAGCACAAGTAACTCGCACCAACTGTTTATTAACAGACATATCTGGTCGTCGATCTGGAATTATAAATAGATGTTTATATATTAGTTATTTTTTTAATATGTTCTTCTATATAGACTTTATAATGTTGTTTACACCTGTAATGATTTATTCACCTAGATTTAACACCCTGTATCGACTGCTAAGTGAATGTGTTAGTGATAAGTCGATGGTGTAACTATTTCTAATAAATATATAAATAATTGTTTTTTTTTAATTATATGCCTGTGTTTAGATATAGAAAATTAATATGCATATATAATATCTTATGAATTAAAGATTTTATATGAAATTTACAACCAATGGATATAGAATGATTTGTTGTCTAACAATTTCACAAAAAAGTTTTTTTATCATTTTTTCTTGTTGATTTAATTTTAAGGTTATTTTAACTCTGTAAGTTTGGATATAATCTATAATACAACTTACGGATATATTTTTAAAGAGCGGCAGACTCTTGCACCACTTTACTATCTTGTATAATCTGTGGTCAGCTATATTGCACAAGTCAGCCAGGAAGTCGGCGCTAGAGTTCTGTGCTGTGATTCCGCTGGCCGCTAGCAAGGGATTCGCTGACGGACTACTCGAATTCTTACTCATACGACTCAATTCCGACTCATTGTACTGCCATAGATGTTCAACGTCCATTATTTCCTGGAAAAATGTTTAGACAATCAACAATAAGATACATATAGATTAAATTTTTATTTAACTATCTTTAAACATGCATAAATATTTAAAACAAAAATATGACACAGGAAAAATGAGTTCAAAAGGTACACTTATCCCTAGAAGAGATTTCTTCCAGTATACCTAAAAAAGAAGAAATGTAGAGAAAACTTAAAAGGTAGACAGGCAAAATCGTACAAAAGGAGAAACGATACAAAAAAAACATAAATACTAGAATTTTTATATATTAAGGTTCATATTGCATATAAGTTTGTGGCAAAAAATAATTGTGAGTTAAAGTAGTTTTTTTATGTACCTGCAATAATGGAGGTATGTCAGGTGTGAGTCGACTGTTGCTTGATTCGCCTCTGTTGTAAGAGCCCGGACCGTTCACCTATAAATATATATAAACATACTCAATTAAATCAAAATAATATAATAGGACAATTTATAATACAAATATTGTAAGTACATGTATTCGGAAAGATTCAAAATAGATTAATTCTATTAATACTAATAGGATCTACAATGAATTTCCAAAATTTAAAGGATACGTTACCAAAATTTAGTTATGAGTTAATTATTTTATTTTACTAACATAATGTTATTTAAGCTTTAATTTGTACATATTTTAATGACACTAAATTTTTCAGATACTATGAGGTTCTTTCATTTTCCACGTGTTCTTAAATTTACAGCAAATTTTAAGCAACCATGTCTTTATATCATCGTCGGGAAAATCTTACAATAAAATAGTAAAAACTCGCTTAGTTATCCCAAAATTTGTTTCATTTCTATTATACTATCTCACTCTCTCTTATGAGGCATTACTGATATCCTAATTTATGCCCACGGCTTCGTTTGCATTTGTATCAGAATTAGAAATGTATGGCTGACCGGGAGAACTCGAATCCTCCTTAGAGAATAAGATTTCAGATTTTATCAAAATATATTTTTTTCTTTTTTCATCCTATATCCTTTTCTTGTTTCTAAGCATCTCCACAAGTTTTCAGCCAAATCCGTACAGTCGATTAATGAGATCTTAAAGATTTTCGTGAGTACTCATTTGAATGAAACTAATATTCTCGGATTTTACTTCGCGGTTTTATTTTTGATTACAAACTACATACTTCCGACGTTTCGGGTACTTTTCAGTTTGTAATAAAAAATAAAAACGCGAAATAAAATCCGAAAATACATATTAGTTTCATCCGTACAGTCGGTCTTGAGTTATAAATAGTGTAACTAATACTTTCTTTTATATATAAAAATAACTTACACATGTGAGACTGGAGGCGTGTCTTAAGGTAGCGGGCGCATGCGCTGATAGTAAGGAGCCGGTGGACGCCGCGCCGGAGAGAGTGTACGAACACTGATAAGTAGAGCGACCGCCGCGTGTACGGTCCTCTCTTATAGCTGAAAATATAACAAATATTAATTCTGATAGTAAATATACGAAAGCAAATTTTTACAAGAAAAACTTAATATTTGGTCCCATTTTGGGTTTTACTTTTAATCCAAAGAAAAAAATTTAATATAGTTTTATGTTTAACCAATTTATTTCTTACAGCAGATAGAAAGAAGACAATTATGATCTCTTATAGCTGCAAATACAACAAATAGACCATTTTTTACCAAACAAACCTAATTGATGGTCCCAGTTTGGACGCCACTTTTAACCCAAAGAAATATTCATTCAGTTTTATGTATTTATCTTTTTTTATACTTATAAATATTATTTACCTTCAAGTTTCATTCCACATCCCAGACATTTATCGAATCTACAGGCGGGGCATTTCTTCCTAGTAGCGACAGTAACCGGACAATTGCCACCTCTCAAACACATGTAGTTCTTACGATTCTGAACAGTTCGTTTGAAGAAGCCCTTACAAGACTCGCAAGAAAATATCCCATAGTGGAAGCCACTGATTTTGTCGCCGCAAATGGGACATGGACTGTAAACGAATAGAAACTTATTGGCGCTTATATTAAAGAATAAATTTATATGTACACAAAAACAGGTGAGAAGTTTACTCATATTACTTTTTACATTTACTTATATTTTTAGGGTTATTATTAAGTTGGTAATGTGTTTAATAGTCTTGAAATTGTTTTTCAATCTCATATGAATGATATTGTTTCATTAGTGAGTTAATTTAAGTAGAGACTTCGAATATTAAAATTTGCTAAAAAAATATAACCGACTTTTCTTCATACATTCAATTATCCGGATTTTCGATTATCCGAATGCCTATCAACAACAATAAGTCCGGTCAATAGAGTTTCTACTGTATATATATGATTGTTACTATATTTATATACCTGTTAATGAGTTGTTGCCGGCTGATCCCCTGGTGGTGATGCAGCCTATCCTCAGCTCCCTCCGCGTCCTCATCGTGAGCGGGCGAGGCGGGGAACACGGCCGGCTCGCGGTACACTACGTGAGGGTGACGACTCTGTAATACATAGAGAAAGTGTAAGAATGTATGGAGACACGATGGCTCAGTTGTTACGATGGTTGCTTTACCATCGCGATGGGCTTGGGTTCGATGTCTGGTTGCGCAAATTTAGGTATAAATGTTTTTAAAATGGTCTTAGACGTGAAGACAAAATATGAACAAAATTGCTATAAAATTAAGACGTATTGTAAGATGTAATCACCAATTAACTAAAATAATATTTGTTCAATAGCTTAAATTAAATGAGTTTTTAGAGATATGTAGTCTACTTATACGAATTTTTCATTGCCAACTTCATAATATGCTAAGTAATCATATATATGTTGATTTTGTGGGTAGATCTTAAATAAATCATTAACTATACCATTGTGACTTTTAAGGTATTTCAGTAGACACAAATAAACTTGTATTCAATTCATAAATAATTATTTAGTATGAAAAACAATAATAATAATAAAATATACTTACTTGTACTGGAGAATGAGTGGGGGAAAATTCTGAGCTGTATGAGTAGCACGAGGAGTGTGACGCGTCGCTGTTGTTGCGAGACAGGGAGGGGGTGTAGTGACGCGAGGGGCGGGGGCTGGCTGACGGACTGCTGTATACACTGCGGGGTAGTATTAGTTAGTAATATTATATTATAATACACGAACAGCAATGTATTCTAATGATACATTGCGGAATATGTAATAACTAGCTGCGCCCCGAGGCGTTACTCGCGGATTTCCGGGATTTCCGGGATTTCCGAGATGTAAAGTAGCCTATGTGTTATTCCTGAACGTCAGCTTCCTGTATACAAAAAATAATCAAAATCGGTTCAGCCGTTTGAGCTTGAAGAAGTAACAAACATACACACACACTCACAAACTTTCGCAATTATAATATTAGTAGGATGAGGGTAGGTATGTAGTTGAAATACGTACTGGCACTTATGTATACACTGCGTTTTTAGTACCAGAATTGAATTGCATTTTAATATTTTTAATGTGACTTTAGTTACAAAATTGGTACTCTATTATCGACTTTATTAAATACTAGCTTTCCGCCCGCAGCTTCGCCCGCGTGAAGTTCGGTTATATAGCGTTTCCAAGAGAACCTTTCAAAAGTCTGGGATAAAAACTATCCTATGTTCTTTCTCAAGCTCAACTCTATATCTGTACCAAATTTCATTAAAATTAGTTCAGTGGGTTTAGGCGTGAAAGCGTAACAGAAAGAGACACAGACGGAGTTACTTTCGCATTTATAATATTAGGTAGGGATTAACAATCCAAATCCATATTAAATCCATTTAGTAGTTTCAGAGTTTGTTCAGGTCAAAAAATATGTAAATATTATTTATATATGAATGTCTAACCTGTGTGTATACATCGAGTGTACCGCGGAGTCAGTACTGGCGCTAGATTGAACGCGAGGGAGTCGTCCCATCAGGGGGGATCCGTGGAGCCCTAGCAGCTTGTCCACACTGGACGTCGGTTCGGACTTCAGTTCTGTAACAAACCAGTTAATGTGAATTATACTTCTATTTGTTACTTCCATCTAATATGATTATTCTATGCTACTTATTTAAATAGCAATTAATATTTGAAAAAAGAAGAATATTTTGTACACAATTATTGTTGCTAAGTTATGTTTTAAATTTCTTGTTTAAAGCAAAATTTATTATAACAATATGTTTAACTACGTAGTGATACATTTATTATGATTGTCGAAGTTTTAATTTAAAATATGTTTATTGTCATAATTTTCTCAAGTAGGTAAGTGAAATGTAATTTCTTTTTGAGTAAAATAAAGTATCTTTAACCATATATTGTTCATAAAAAATCTGAATGTGTGTAGTCATCATCCTCATCAGCCTATCAGCGCCCAATGCTGAGCAAAGGCCTCTTTCTCACATGGAGAAGGTTTGAGCATTAATCACCACGCTTGCTCAAGACGGCTTGGTGATTTCAAACTATAAGACCAGGTTTCCTCACGATGTTTTCCTTCACTGAGAGGTAACTGTCTTCTAGGTTGATAATACTAACCAGAGATCTGTTCTTTCTTGATTGTAAGGTTTTGGACTTCCGGGTGCGTGTCGTAGTGCGAAGGTGATGAAGGCCGCCGAGCTAACAACGAATTACTATCCGTTAGGACTGATATCTGAAAAAGTAATAAACATATGTGAAAAGATCATATTACATTGGTCACAGAAGTTTACATTATTCTTGCGTCTTGTCTTACACAAAATTATTTATTTTGGTACAATCGTATTTAAACTTATTTCTATAATTAAGTTGAGAATATTGACTGAAGATTTTATTTAAATTGAATGAGGATTTTTTTTAGCCTATCAGAGCCCACTGCTGTACAAGGCCTCTTTCTTATAGAGAAGGTTTGAGCGTTAATCACCACGCTTGCTCAAGACGGGTTGGTGATTTCAAACTTATAATTTTAATGAAGATTCATACATTATTAAAATTACATAACACTATCAGTCTGTCACTGTGTTAAAGATATGTTAGTTATTTCATGACTATCCTTACGTCAAGTTTATGCTTAATAAATTTCATATATTATTTTCATATTAGCTACATACTTATCACTTGGGAAACAAACACATACACCCTCATATATAGCTACATATATATGTACACCCTCACCCTATTCATACTGAGACTTCGCTGATGTGACTGAAGTGGCAGGGTGTACTTCAAGTCCAGAACACGTTGATCCTCCATAGTATGGAACAGCTCTGTCTTAAGAGGTTCAGTCTTAATGGACACATTACGGAGAGTGTCGATTGAATCCCTTGACGATTGGAGGTCCAAGGAACTGCTATTCTCATCTACTTATATAGAGAAAATACAAATTATTAATTAATTAAAATATGTATGAATTTGTTAATAATTATCCCTATATATATATTTTAGGATCGAGATATATTTCATATGATAAAAGTTTTAAGATAACCATTTCTGAACGACAAATAACCAATTATCAATATATATATATATATATATCTACCCAGCCGTATTCGGCTATGGTGACTTAGCTTTGTTTTATAGATTACATAGGTAATATTTAAGAGCTGCGATGCGACCTCACATGGCTAAAGTAACCAATCTTAGCACTAAACGTGCGACCACAAGTGTCACACGTCAGTGTACCATTTACATAATTGTATGTTATATTAGCAGGTGGACGTGCTTTTATTCGGTCGCGTTTGAGATCCAGTTCTAGTTTTCTGTTATCTTCAAATGCATGTACTTTTTCATGTACATGCCGTCTCCATCCAGATCTGTTTTCAGCGAGAGATTCCCAGCGAGACGGTTCAATGCCGCAGCTCTTCATGTGTCTTTTCTGAACATCTTTGAAGCGCAAGTATTGGCCCCCGCGTTTCCGCTTACCAAACTCTAGTTCAGAAAAGAAGATGCGCTTCGCTTTTCGCTCGTCTGACATTCTCGCAAGGTGTCCGCACCAACGCAACTGACGCTGCATCAAGTATGCCTCAATTCCATAGACATTAGCTCGTCGAAGAACATCGGTATTGCGAATCCGATCCGACCATTTAATGTTTATAATTTAAAATCAATATATAGACTATTAAATAGAAAAAGTATAATAAGTAATAACATACATAGTTTAAAAAGACATTCTATATCGTCTGCAATGATCACGGTTGCTGCAAAGTAACCTTAACTTCGGGAGTATGAATATTATTAGGTGTACAACTTTGCTTCCGCCGTTTTTTTCCGAAATTCGAGGCATTATTGTAAAAAACTGGTTATACATTTATGATTCAAAGTATTGTCCATCGCTGGCCACTACTTTCTCCCATCTTTCGGGCAGCATACGAATCCCGCGTTGAAAAAACTGGTCATCTTTTGAAGCGATCCACAAATAGATCCAATTTTTAACTTCTTCATAAGACCGGAAGTGCTGGTCAGCCAGGCCGTGTGCCATTGATCGAAACAAGTGATAGTGCGAGGGAGCAACGTCTGGAGAATACGGCGTATGGGGTAGGACTTCCCATTTCAACGTTTCCAAGTATGTCTTGACCACTTTCGCAACATGGGGTCGAGCATTGTCGTGCTGTAAAATCACTTCATCATGTATCTCGTTGTATTGCGGCCGTTTGTCTTTCAATGCTCGGCTCAAACGCATTAATTTAGTTCGATAACTATCGCCTGTGATTGTTTCAGTCGGTTTTAACAACTCATAATGCACTACGCCGAGCTGGTCCCACCAAATACAGAGCATATCTTGGAACCGTGAATATTCGGTTTGACCGTCGACGTGGAAGCATGGCCGGGATATCCCCATAATTTTCTGCGCTTGGGATTATCGTAATGAACCCATTTTTCGTCCCCAGTCACAATACGATGCAGAAATCCTTTTCGTCTTTGCCTTGCAAGCAGCTATTCACAAGCAAACAAACGCTGTTCAACATCTCTCGGCTTCAACTCGTACGGCACCCAATTTCCTGGTTTCTGAATCATTCCCATGACTTTCAGGCGTTTTGAAATGGCTTGTTGCATCACTCCCAATGATCCTGCCAATTCTTGTTGCGTTTGACACGAGTCTTGATCAAGTAATGCCTCCAATTCTGCATCTTCGAAAATCTTCTCTCTTCCACCGCCATGCCGGTCTTCGACGTCAAAATCACCGTTTTTGAAGCGTTGAAACCACTCTCGGCACGTTCTTTCACTAATAGCAGCCTCCCCACAGGTATTTGAGAGCATTCGATGAGCCTCAGCCGCAGATTTCTTCATATTAAAGCAGAAAATTACTACCTCCCGCAAATGACGAGAATTTGGCTCGTAAGCTGACATGTTTAATCGAGAATAACTTTATGATGCAGACACAAAGCGGCTAATATTTCGATGGCGTTATATTTACAAGTTCCTAAGCTTATTGTATGACATCTACGATCTATTTATTTCGACTAGCACTTACCGCTACAACCATCTATTGCAAAACGGCGGAAGCAAAGTTGTACACCTATGTAAATAATAAAAAACGAATAGTAACCCGATTTCATTTAAAATAGGGTAGTTTTATAAAAATTTCAATATGGAGGGTAGTTTTAAATAATTCCGTTTACCGTTATTTGTGCTGGTGTCAATGACCATTTCTGAGTCTGATAGTTCTCCCTCCCAAGACATCGGCCTCTCCTGTTCTTTGGCCTGATCACACTGACCGCTTGAAGAACGCTTCTTCTTATTCCGCATGTTGACCTTGAATTACATCATTATCGATTAATAACGGCTCAGGAAGTGCCAGTTTTGTGCAAGTTTAGGGCCAGATTAGTGCCAGTTTAGGGCCCACAAAACTCACCTCATACTGATGTTGAGTGAAATCAATTTTGGATATTTCAGCGTCCGTCGAATCCTCGTCTTGAGGTTCCGAGGACACGCTGATTCTAACTCCACTCGAGCTATACGAGAACTGCCCTGGAAATAGTTTATCGTTATAAAATGTATCGATAAAATATATATTTATTTATATGTTGTTCTTGATGTTACCATTGCTAGTTTCCGGTCCCGACATGCTGATAGTAGTGACGGAGATATGCCCCCCTTCCACTTTCACCGTCTCCCCCTCACTAGACATCGTTATCGATATATCGATAGTTCTGTTCACCTCACTACACTATTAAGCACCATGCGCAATGTCCTTTTAGAATAACAATATCAAAAACGCATACAAAACTATTACATATAATTTTCATATTTTTTTTCCTATATATATTTTGCTAAGCGATCATCTCGGGTCGTTTATTTGTAAGGCATCCGATGGCAGTCTTGATTCCAGACGTACGCATTCAATATAGCTCCGCGTACATATTCTTAAATATCGTGCTCGCGATTGAACCAGCATTGTTACTCTGCGAAAGAAAGTACATCGTAAATTAAAAAATATAAGAAAAGTACAATTAAAACAAATTTTATAACAATTTGTACCATAAAAAGTCATGTCATAAAGTTGTCGTGTTTGTACACGTACGAATGCGTAAGGCCCTCGTGTCGGCCTTGCGACGCAGCCAGTGCTGTGCGATAAGTATATCGATAGTCGACCGACCTCCGTGTCATTGGCATTATGTTTACAACGTACAGCGCGAGGTTTACACGATAACGTCACTGAATGAATTTTAATCTTAATTTATTTGTACATTTTCATTATTTATATAAATAATTATGTTTAAATATGTATGTATGTTTATAATTTTGAACTAACAAAGCATATGATAGGTATTTGATAAGTTGTTTATCTTAGTTAATCATCGACATATTCAATCACTAGTCCAGGTGAGTGGGGGGACAGCGCGGCCTTCACAAAGCCGGTTGTCGACGGTCGCAAGCATTTCGCCTTTCGCGCTAACTGGTCCGCCGGTTCAAATACTAGTTATAGATATTTAGATGATTCGTACTTGATGCTTGTTCCACATTATATATAGAGTTGAACGAACACTTAAAGGGATAGCCATCAAAGATCACAACCGTCTGGCCGACCAATTAGCGGCCAATAGTCCTTCACTCAACAGACGTCTCGGTTATCAGTTGCCTTGCCGACTCCGGTAATTGCAAATTGCACAATGCAATTCTTACATTACGTTCAAAACAGTTGGGAAACTATCCTTACGGTTGTAATTCAACGTGTTCATTTGGAAAGGAAACTTTGTGATTGTGAGATATAATCATAATCATGGATTTCATATGTAAGGATTAATTTAATATTATTAATGAACAATAGCGCTATCTCGGTCTTCAAGTTAATATAGCCGTGTGTGTGAGAGGGACGTATATAATTCGGTGTCCCAATAAAAGTGCGTCCGAACAAAACATGGCGTCATCGCGGCCTAGACAAGGCCGGGCGGTCATTAATACGTCAGACAGAGCTCTGTGGATATATTACAGCGAAGTGGAAAGTTTCCGTGTGTATAAATACACATACATATATTTTATTATACCTTTCTATATTTACGAATCTCTGAATGCATAATTAAACTCGTACTTGAAATATGAGATCGTAAACAAAGAGGCGATCGTTATTCATAAATAAAATAGAAGTACATAATCTTAACTTAAATTAAACATTGTGCGAGTGATGTCCTTGTGTGTGCTCAAAGTTGTCGATGGATGAGAGCCGTCGACCGATAAATATCTTAAGGTCACAACACTATCAGGGTGACGTAAACGTACCGAGCATGATAATAACACCGAAAGGCAGGTGTACAAATATCCACGAATTTAACACGATCAATCACAAACGATAATAATTAAATCCGTATTAATGTTTTGTAAACATGTTATTATAAATCCGCGGCCAGTTTCCATGATCTGTCGGCCATAGCGGGATCATTGACATGTAATTTACTCCGTGGCTGATAATTTGTATGTTGAACCGTGTTTACACAGACTGTAGTCTGGTGTTAGATGTCCTTGACCCCATGACTGTGAGGTCGGCTAGAGCGATGCACTCACCCTTAAATAGATCTTCGAAAGCAGAGCACGAATAGAATCATAAAAATATCTTCGTAAATCATATATCTAAATGAGCGTCACCAAAACGGAAACGTAGAAAGATAGTGCTTAATCTTTTGCTTAACCAATGAAGTCACTTTGCAATTCAGAATCGTTTATCGTCTCTAAGCAATGGAACTTTGAAGATATATATACTTTATAGGAGGTGAACGACTTACTTAATGGACTTGATAGACTCGCAGTCACTCCAACGGTTTTCTATGATTTATTTCTTATTGTAAAATTATTATTAATTTTACACACTTAATAAAATTTCTTTTATACGTATATATAACACAATTTCTTTAACAAAACTTTTGTAATTAATAATTCAAATTCGTTATTTTCCCGCCACAGACGACAGCTGTCCAAACGCGACAAGCAAATAACAAATTGGTGACGCTAAATAGAATGTCGAATGTTGTTTGTTTTAATGCGCTCTGAGGTCGCCACTTGTAACTAACTGTCTGACTATTGTCAACCTCTAGACGAGACATTATTCATATTAATTCGTCTAGCGCTTAAAAGAAATTAATTGTTTTATATAATAATAATATTTTCACACTCAATACTTTTATTATAATACGATATTAAATTTTAGAACATATATAAAGTTTGGATGTAAAATTTCAGAACGTTAAATAACCATCGATTAGAAAAAAAATACTCGTATATTCGAATTCAATAGATACATATTATAATAATTTCCATTTCAAATTCATGTCATTTGCAACGACAATTCTAATTAAAATAATATGTATATTTATTTCAAAGTTAATATCATTAAAGTGGCTTTATAAGGAAATCTTTCATAACTATTTACTTTGTTAACAAGCAATAAACTTAGTCGTTTGACATAATGTAGCAACAATAATTCATACGCAAAGCCACATTCATTATAATCTCTATAACTGTATATAACTTTTAAAACGAATTTAATTGTCGAATAAGATAATTCTTAAATGATTCATACAAGGCATGTAGTATGAGTTTGCAACAATTTGAAAATCTTTTTTAATTACTATAAATATTTATTTAATATCCGATTACATGTATTATTATAATTATTTATGAATACTTAAAAACTATCAGTTTAACTTTGAAACTATCAGTTCGACTGTACAAACTTGTATGCTTCAAGACCATTCACTATACATATGTATATAGGTATGTAGTATTAATATTTTAAGTCTTTCATGTATAGGTTTGTTATGAAAGATAAAAACGATAAATTTGACATTCTGTCTAATTATAAAAGTGACAGTTGTTGCATTAATGAAATAATTAATTATTAAACTCCTTAACAGCATTCATATACTTTTTGATTTTTCTATTTATACAATACGTACTTATTTAAAAATTTACTTACGTTTTACTAACTAAAAAAAGTCTCAATATTTAATTAGTTTACTGATATTTTTATCAACGTTGTTTACATATAAATCAATATACATATTTCATTTAAAAAATGCAACTAAACAAAAGCGTTATCGATAATATATTCTCATAAACAAAACGCATACAAACTGTTGGCTAATACGAATGTAATATCTCGGTAAATGTAGTACACCTTGGCTTCAAGAAATGTAATCGCGGTGCGCACATGTATTTACACAACCGTATTTATCAGACTGAAAAAGCTGATTGGGGTTTCTTGATAATGAATAATTATTAAATGAAAATTATAATTTTGTATGAATTAACGTTTATTTCTTAATAAACAGCTTCTGAAGGACAAATTTATTGTTTTATATTCAAAAACTTACGCTTTATTTGTAGTGGTGTACCTACATATAGTAAATAAATTAATTTTAATGAAAGTTATATTTTTGTATGTTTTTGATATATATTATTTTATATTTTTCTTATAATACTACCGCATAACGAATTGAATGTAACGGGTAATATATCGTTTTGACCTCGGCACTATAATGCCGACTGTGGTGTTGAAACAGGTGTTTGGAAAAAAAAAACTCAAAAAAAATCGCTGATTTATTATGAGTTTTTACTTCAAAATAATTAATTATTAAAAATATTTTCACTCGTATTATAATTGTGTCTAATTAACCTACTTTTTAATTTTTTAGGCATTACTCATTTTTTACGAAAAGAAAAAGTTTAAAGCTATGAATTATGGCTTCTTACAAATATTATAAATTAAAAAAACTTTTTTATATCTGAGATGACTCTTCTGTTACAATTACAATCTTTATATCTAAGTTTAATTTACATTTACATGTTATTCTTATAAATAAATTGATGATAAAAATGTTACCATAAAAAATATTGACGAGGTTTTAGTCACCAAAACTAAAAATTGTTGCTGCCGTTCTTTCTGTTTTTATTGAACAAAACGTTTATATTGAATCTTTATTCAAATTATTGGACAATTTGCAAAAATTTTCTATCCTCTAGATGCTTTTAAATTAGTCAGAAAAGATATATTATTCAGAAAACGTGACGCGTTTACCAAATCTTATTATAGTTAAGAGATGTCATTGTCAGTACATGTGTCTTCCTCGTTGATTTCCTGTGGTGTTTGTTGAATTTAAAATTAATATTATTAAGAATCTCGTTAGCGAAAAGAGATTTTTTCTTTTTGGAAAATTCGCTTTTATTTAAGTGATATTCAAATAATCCTGTTTGTCGCTTTATTGTCATTTATGTGTAGCTAATAATAATATATCCTACTAATATTATAATTGCAAAAGTTTGTGTGTGTGTGTGTGTGTGTATGTTTGTTACTTCTTCACGCTCAAACGGCTGAAGCGATTTTGATAAAATTTTGTATACAGTAAGCTGAAGTCCAGGAATAACACATAGGCTACTTTACATCCCGGAAATCCGCGGGTAAAACTGCGGGGCGCAGCTAGTATTCCATATTTCCAGTGCGAATGTATAAGTGAAAAAAAAAACAAAGAAATATATAGAATTGGTAGACAAAAATGGCATTCTACATCAAAAATAATTATCAAATTAATGCCAAATTTGATGTAAATATGAAGACTCATCGTAGGTATAATAAGAATGGAAGAATTTTAAGAAAAATCGGTTTCATTCTCCTAGTTTCTTTCTTTCCTATAATGCAAC